TATAGCAATCGAAAAATGAAAAATTGTTCACCTAATCTGAGCCAAGTCTTCTCCATTTAATTTTTTATCACCAAATGATCAATGATGATCAAGAATCACAAAAATTGTTATAACTTCTATATGACTTTAGCTATCAATACAAAATTGAGAATTGCACCTTTTTTCCGAAATGGAGTATATATGGTATCAATTAGTATTTTTTTTTTAATTTTAAAACATTTTATTTTTTTAATTAATTAAATTATTAATTTTATTTTTATTTATATAAATTTGTCGTCGTTTGAACAATTTTTTGAATGTTTGTCAATGTGCTTCAATTACATTAGCTTTTACTTATAGTTCTTTATTATTCATGCGTATCATTTTAAAAATACTCTTTCGATTTTTTTTAATGATAATGATAACATATATCTTGATTGGACTGAGTATTCCTCCATTAGAATTTGAGGCTTTTTCCGTTATCAGATGTTTAGAGCAATGTTTAGAAGTTTTTGTTGATTTATGATACATTAATGAAGAAAAATTCTAATATTTCAATTATAACTTTAACGAAACGCAATTGTTAAACCATGGCAGATTGTAAATAATATCTATAAACTGATAACTTACTAAATATATGGATTAAACCTTTGCGTTTCCAACGTTATTGAATGGAAGTTGTGCTGAGTCCACAATGTATTAAAATCAGATACAAATATTAGGTTTGTGCGGAGTATTCGCACGGGGCAACTAGTTCATTATAACAATCATTTTATTACTGGTTTATTTATTAACTTAGTAGCATCAACTGGTTTATTTAATCCTTTCGGTCAAAAGTATTACGGCAGTTAACGAATCGGAAACAGTGGAAACTTTATAAATAATGGTTTTATTCATAATATTACAAATGGCATCTAAAATATAATATAAGTAATATAATAAGGATATATGTGTTGAATACATCAGTTCACTCCACGTCTCCTACAGCAAAGAATATGACTCAAGAATGCAACTGCATAAGTGGTTTGGTCTTAGCAGGATAGGGGTTATATGCTCAGGAATAGTAGGGGAAATGAATTAATTTTGGACGGTCTAGGAAGCGTGTGAATGAAGTTAAGAATTGATATCCTTATCTTTTAGAATTGATATGAAGTCTGTGAGAAAGTGCTCTTTTGCTGAAAACGGTTATTGTTCCCTAAGTCTTGATAAGTGTCTTCTGTCCAGTCAGTACATTCTAGATAACTATTTCTAAGCTATCAGAGATAGCTTGACCTGGCTATCTAGGGCTTTGTGCCTTAATGTTTTGATAAAGGTCATGAGAAAGGTCAATGCAAGATTAAATGATTAAATAAATAAAAGTTAATATTAATAGTTGTTACGGATTAAGTCCATTCCGTAACTCGGCGAAGTACATCGATAATTATCTCGATCTCCACTAAATTAACAGTTTTGCTACCATCTCCTTTTCACTAATGACATCGGCACATAATAGTTAATTTTCAGGAAAGATTTGATTTCTAACAAATTTTCTGAAGAACACCAGGATGGATAATTGTTCACAAAGAAAGATAAACATTTCCAAAGGTTCACTAAGCCTTCGTAGATCGATGATGTACTAGATAAGAGATCAGGATGAAAAATACAAATGAGAACTATGAAAAAATGGGGGGACTGTCCCTTCCCCCTCCTTTAGGATTTAGACATAATTCATAAAAAGAAGAACAAAAGAAGTCCGGGAATGGAAGCCCTACCAGTGGAGCTCTCTACATATGGTGTTATGTACATTAGATACTTCAACTTCCAACTTAATTGTGAAGCTTTGGGATTATGAAAAGCTGACTAAAAAAAATAAATAATATGTTTAATCATTATATTACCGTTCTACAAGAAAGATGATCGGCGAGAATGCAAAAATTACGTAACGTCTCAACTTACCTGCGCACTGATTTTCTTCTTATACAGAGAATCTTTGAGATTCTCACACGGTGGGTCAGACTTATAAATCGCTCATGGTGCACACAACTTTCACTTACTGCTCTATTTTGAATAGAAATTATTTTTTTTGCAATGTTGGGCTATTATAAAATTTTTGTAGTTTATTTTTAACGAAACTATAGCTTAAACCTTACAGCAAAGAACTCATTAATACCATAAAAATAACACAAACGCTATTCGACGGTAAGCAATAAAAACCTCGTAACTCAATCTGTTTTTGTATACCACCTAACTTTAGTTTCCGAACTACATATGCCTTGAGAAATTTGAAAATATATTTCATTAATAAATGATTAAGGATTGTACTACTATTATTAAACTCTTATTTTGCCGTTGTAAAGTTTATTAAAAGGAGTGACATGATTTTTATTGCCTTCTATCGATAGGTCAAAAATTAACACACTAATTGAAAGTGAATAATGTTATGATATGACAAAAAGAAAAAATTATCAAATTATTCACTAATTTAATTTTCTGAAATGTTATATGATTTTTTGGTCTAAATCGACGATAAAAACATAATTAAAAAAAAATCAGATCTAGTGTTATTAAACTACCTAGTCCTGTCATATATATTGTTACAAGGAAATATATACAGATTTCAAAAGAACAATTAATTTTTCAAAAACTTTATTAAAAAATAAAGTGTATATCTGTAGAGAGTAAAGCAAAAAATATATTATTCAAAATGTTTCCCTTTTGCCTTGACGCAGGCATTTAATCTCCGTGGCCAGTCATCAATAGAAGCATGCAGCACTTGTTGAGGAAAGCGCTCAACTGCTCGGACCAGAGATTGTTTGAGGCTTTCCAAATTAGGGTGTGCTCTGTGGCATGTCATCCTCTCCATTGAGGACCTAAGCTAATAATGTAGTGGGTTGAGATCAGAACTTCCTGAGGGCCAATCCGAGGCAGAGATGAACTCGGGCATGTTCTTTTGTAGCCACTGCTGTGAGTTGACCTGGTCTTGTGAGCTGGAGCGGAATCCTGCTGGAAAACCCGATGACTTCCAGCAGAGTATCATTTAGAGGCTTGACAACAGGTTCCAAATATCGTCCTGATTGTTTTTAGCGGCTGTTTTAATTTTTTTTTCTCAAAAATGGAGAATGTTGATGCCATCAAAGCAAACTCCCCACCAAACCTTCCCTGTGGAAGGATGATGACCTCTTTCCACTCTTCCACTCCAATGACTTCCTGAGCTTCTTTAGAGCTATGTGCGTAGACACAATCATTTAGGATTATTATCCTGAGATGTAAAGAAAACAACCTGATAGAGATAAGGATTATCTAAATAATATCCAAGGATGTAAACAAAGCTGAACTTTTGTAACTGTATTTATGGCAGAAATAGGTTCCGTAAATGTATTTAAAGTTATCAACATATGTTTTATACATCCATAAAATATTTTACCATTTCATATCATAACTTACTTATTTATTTCCGGTGTTCCAACGTGGGATACCTCTTCAGGTCAGAGCAGAGCTCCACACATCTCTCTCCTCCCAGTCACCCTCCTGTAGACCTCGGCCTGCCATCTCTTCTCGGACTCCTTCCATCCACGTGGTTCTCGGTCGTCCTCGCCTACGCTTTCCGGGTGGCTGCCAGTCCAGGACTCTGTTCGGCCAATGCTCTTCCGACATTCTCCTGCAGTGTCCATACTACCTCAATCGCCGTTTCCCGATCCTCTCAGAGACGGTCTCCTCTACACCTATTCTCAGTCTCACCACTTCATTTCGGACGCTGTCCAGCCTCGTTAACTGTAGACACCTTCTCCAGAAATCCATTCCTACAGTCCGAATTTTGGCATACAAGCTAGCATTCATCGACCATGCCTCACATCCGTAGGTTAATATGGACTCGACAATAGCCGTGAAGATACGCCGCTTGTTCGCGTTTGAAATAGTGTCGTTCCAGAGAACAGGATGCAGCATTCTAGTAGCTTTTCTTGCCATCTCTACCTTGTTTCGGACATCCACTTCGGACGTTCCAACATCGTCCAGATAGGACCCGAGGTATTTAAATGCCTTTATTTTTCTACATACCTGTTCACCTATGCGTAGGTCGTCTTCCTCATCTCCCAGTGCCATATACTCAGTCTTTTGGAAGTTAATCCTGAGACGTGCCTCTTCATAAGCTTTCTTCAATTGGACAACCACCATCTCCAGGAATACTTTCTTCCGGGCCATCACTACTTGATCGTCTGCGAAGAACAGGGTAAGGAGCTAGTCGTCGTCAAAGTACACTCCGTAGTCCCGACTTCGTCTCATCCATTGCTTCACTACTTCATCCAAATATACCTTGAAAATGCTTGGAGACATACAACACCCCTGCCTCAGCCCTTTGGTTCCAGAAAATGGTTCCGAGAGGCGGTTCCCAATCTTCACTTTGTACAGATCGCTTCTATACAAGTGTTGAATTGCTTGTACCGTGGATTCATTAATACCCGCTGTTCTCAGTGCTGGTCATATTCTTTCCCTAGGGAAACTGTCATATGCCTGCTCCAGATCAATGAAGGCTAAATGAGGCTCCCTATTCTTCGCCCTGCATTTCTCAATGACCTGCCGGAGTACAAAAATATTGTCCATATAGGATCTCTCGGCAGTGAAACCAGTTTGTTCCAACGGTGTGGTGTACTCTCCTTCCAGCTTATCCCGGACAAGTCTCCCGACAATCCTACTCACTGAGCTCTGTACACAGATGCCGCGATAATTCTGGAATTGCTTCCTATCACCTTTTTTAAAGATGGAGCAGAGGTATCCATATCATAACTGAACATGTTATAATACGAGGTTTTCTCTGACAAGGGAAGATGGCGTTAATGCCGCCCGCCATTTTTATCTATCTTTTTGATTAAAATTATTATTATTATTCGAAAAATGGTCTATTTACGATAAATATTTATGTAGAGAATATTTCCAAAGGGTTACCTTGGATTGGCAATCTTGGTGATTTGTTGCTATTTCGAGTTAAATAATCTTATGAAACTAAACTTAAATTAACAATCCTCTCTCTAAAATGAATAAAGCAATAATAGAGTGTCTGAAACTGATTTTATTCTTTAAAAATTGTGAACCACAAACCATGAAAACAAGTTACAGTGATAAATATTTATTAACCTTTTTCCAAAATCCAAGAACAGAGTTCTTGAATTCTTCAATTCCATGAAGCACATCAAAACAGTGACAAAAACTCACTCCGCCTGACTTCTGAAAAAAAAAAAAGAATTGTGTGAATCGGTAAAAATATCTGATAATTATATAGTTCAATAAAATACATAAGTCACAAAGTTTGTTTGTTTGAGTGTTCCTCCAATGTTAGAAATTAGTAGTCCATTTGAATAATTCTTAGTTCATTGATAGGCCATGTAAACATCATGTAACAATAGAATTGTTCTTTAAACATGATTGCCCTTAAAGATAGTTTGTAGCTACAATAAAATTTTAAGGACAATAAAGTAGACGTAAATTGCCCTATCTAGATCAGGGTGTACTTGAACCACAGAGATAAACGCTTGAAAATATGGCTTACGTTGAACTGAAGTCTTTACTTTAAATATTTTAAAACATTTTGTAATCGTAAGCTATGTCGTCAGTTTGTTAATTTTTTTCAATTGTTTGGAAATAATTAAACGTAGTTTAAGTTTTAGAAGTTGGTCAATGGTGCGGTGAAGTCATTAGTCTAAACCGTGGTGCATTCATAAACAATATGTTATAGTCCTGTTTATTAATTGCTTAGCTTACGTTTCGAACTACGTCGTGGGTCTTCAGAATCTTTTTTTTTTCGTTTTTCGTTTACATTTGAAAAATCAAAACTCTCCTGATAGATCGTACCAGGATGTTTCAGGATTAGGTGGCCAGACTTCAAAAGTGAACTAAGGACCTCAAAACAAGAATAACATTTCCTCTAAAGGTATGTCGGCAAACGCTTTGTTTAGAAGATATTCACACCTAAATATTTTCGTCGTTTCGAATTATTTACGTAATATGAAATAAATAAAACCTATTTATTTTTTTTAAACTACTTTATTAATAAAATGTAAACATTAATATTCCTATTAAATGTTGTTTTAATAGGTCCGCATTCCTTGCCGCCTGGAGTCAATGCGGGCACATTTCTGCAATTTCCTAATAATGATTATTATGACTTAGTTGAATATATTCCACTACAACTGAGAAGGGACATGTGGCTTCAACTAGATGTTTGTCCTGCACATTACAGAAGAGGTCCACGACAATAAATGTTAATTATCCCAATCAATAGATTGGCTGTGCAGGACCAGTGGCTTGGCCTGCACGCTCTCCAGACCTGACACCACTGGATTATTTTTTTTGGAGGTGACATTAAACAAAAAGTCTATGCAAGTCCGATCTCAATGAACTTTATTCTTCACGAAGAAGGATAATTGAATCTTGTGAAACAATAACACATCCAGTGCCGTTCTGCCACTGCTGCTGAAGAAAGATTCCGAGCCTGTCTTAATGCTTAATGAAATCACTTTGAACAATATTTAATATGAATTTAATGTTTACGTTTAATTAATAAAGTAGTTGGAACAAATAAATAAGTTTTATTTATTTAATAAAACGTAAATAATTCATAACAATGAAAATATTTAGGTATCTCAATATCTCCTAAACAAAGCGTTTGCGGACATATGTTCATAGGAATTTTCTTCTTGTTTTCAGGTCCTTAATTCGTATTTTCAGTTTGGCCACTTAACACTGAAGCCCTGTATATTCCATTTCTTCCAAAAATTATACTTCCTCTAAACTTTCCGAACACGCATCATCCTCAAAACACACATTCGACTATACCACCTATACATGCCACAGTCCCCTTTCATGACCAATGACTACAAACAGAGCACTAGCGGATCTAGGATTTAATTTTTTTGGGGGAGGAGCTTCAGCCCGAAAGCTTTTTTTGTCATATGTATATAAATATAATTAATTTAAAAAAATAATAATAAAAACTAGTTACCTATATGATGTTGTGTTTAAGTAATTCCTGAAGACTTAGGAAATGTAATTACACGAACAAGAATACTTTAAGAGATAGTTTTTAATATTTTTTTCTGTAAAACATGGTTATATTTTACTATTTTGGGGGGGAGGAGCTTCAGCCCGAAAGCCTCCCGCGTACATCCGTCTGTGAAACAGAGAGAATTTTCACCCAATTAGAACCGAAACCCGTTAATCGAAAAAGCCGATAAACAGAATTTATCCTTAGCTTTCTCCCAAATTTTTTATTTTTTAAAACAACAAGAAATTATTAATGCCGGTTCCCTCATTCTTAAAACTCAGTCCTCATTTCCTCCAATCCCATTTATAAATATATAATTTTTTTTTTAAATTATTTTATTAGTCTTTATATATTTTAATATTATTCTCCTTCCAATTACTGACAACTTATTACATATTTAATTTAAGAGTTTTTTGTTTCATCTGTTATTTTTAGCAGATTCTACTTTTAATACAAACAAATAGTACAAACTCGCCTCTTCATGCTCATTGATATTTAACTCTCCATTATATATAATTACTACTATTATTATTACTGTTATCTCCACCCTTTATCCAATACCCAAATCAATACACTCAACCATTCCTTGAAATCATTAAAGCAATAATAACCTCTTCTACTTATAGTTTTAATTTATTTTAAATAAAATAAAATGATAGTTGTAATTTACCGGCAATAACCAACTAACTCTTTTACTACGAACCATTACAACCATTCTTCCTTTCTCTCCTACCCTCTTATATCAGTTCCCTTGATCCTTCCGGCATCGCTGAACGAAAATCCCGATGATGAAATACAACCTAAGGCAAAACGTAAGCTAACCACATAAACAGTACTAAAACATATATTATGTGAATGTTGACCCTACAACCCTAATCATCTTCTCCTTATATTTATTTATTCATTTATTTTTTGTGATTCTGTTTTTTCATATAAATAGTTATTCAATTAATCAAAATCGCTGGGTCATGGGACATCATAACGCAATCGAAATTTAATTAGAAGATGGAAAGAGAAGATTTTGTATTGGAGTATTTACATATTATTTATTGTATAATAATATTAAGAAATTGTGATAACTCACGATACTCCACAAGACAACAACGACGTTTCGTCTATGTCACGTCTTGGTTTTGTAGTAGGCGTAAAAGCAGACCATCGCGATGCCGAGACCTCCGGCGATCACCAGGTGTTTCTTCTTCCAGTGTTGATTCTACAACATTTAATTAATGTTATTAGGTAAGTAGACAAACTTAAAATATGAGAAATAAATAAAAAATAAAAGTACACATCAACAATTTTTATCCAAATATATTAATCAGTAAATTGTAGTTTATAAATGTATTAATAAAATTAAAATGTATGATAATAATAATAAACCCAAAAACTGTACTGCACATATACCTGGCAGTTGGATGATGGTTAAAGTTTTGGAACAGACCTAATATAAGGAAGAGCTTGATAGCTCAATGAGTAAAGCACTCTACTTCTATGCTCGAGGGGCTAGGTACTAGTCCTGCTGTGACAAATCATTCCCTTACATCTGCCCTGGATCGATCCTCAAACGGGAAGAACCTCCTGAGGCACACCAAGTCTCAATGAGGCAGGCAGTTTTTTATTAATTATTTAATTAAGACAAAAAGCTTGTTGGTTGAACGTGATTTATCCACGTTGCATAATAGTCTGTGGGCCAGACCCCCTTACCGTGCACCCTCCTCCCCCCCCCCCCCACATCCCTATAAATTGAATATAGTTGTGTTCCTTGTAACTATTTATTAAAAAAAACAATTTTCCCACATAAACAAGTGAACGCACTGCCCCAAAATGGCGTCCAAACATGGCGGATTGACGACTTTGACTTTAGTTAGTTTTTTGGTCACTGAGAATGAGCACTGGGATTAATTTCCTCATGGTTGATCATCCACGACGTCCAGGAAATGAATCATATCAATACGTGTTTTATAAACTAAAATAACATATACCTAATCTGAACTACATATAACGAATAGATGCCGTGTTGCTTAGTAAAACTTATTGTTACGAAATTGCTGAATAAATTGTTCCGAAGTTGGACCATATCATAAAAAAATAGGAAATTTTAATATTGAATGCATTATTCCCTCTGCACAAATAAAGATGGAAAGAGCGAAACTATAAGTTCTTCTAGTAACCGTAACGGTGTGGTAGGGGCTTGTAGGTACCTACGCCGGAACCGCTTTTCTCCCGCATAAGTGCATTTTCTACGGAACTGCTTCAAATATTTTTAAAAGTAATCAGTGTCTTAAAAAGAAAAATATATTCTCCAGACGTTTTATTTCAGCACATTTTGCGTTATTGTTGGCCGTTTAATTACAAACGACGCTTTATTTTCAATTTGAAAATTTTTTGGTTAACATTTGTCACTTTGCTGGTGTTTTTTTCTTGTCTAAGTCAATTATTTTTTAATATTTGTTCATATTTTATAATTCTCTGGCTATTCAGCTTTGATAAAAGACCAACCATGAGGAAATTAAGACCAGTGCTGATTCTCAGTGACCAAAAAACTAACTAAAGTAAAAGTCGTCAATCCGCCATGTTTGGACGCCATTTTGGGGCAGTGCGTTCACTTTTTTTGTGGGAACATTGGCTTTTTTTTTAATAAATAGTTACAAGGAACACAACGATATGCAATTTATAGGGATGTGGGGAGGGGGTGCACGATAGGGTGGTCTGGCCCACCGTGTGTAACTGTTATGAAATAGTTGTTTTTTGCAAAGTACTATAATGAAGACCCTTCATGTATTGTGTTATAGGTTTTTATACCTAAATGTTTTTTTAAAGTATTATTATAAGCTTCTTCTTCTTTTATATGGCGCTAAGCCCCATAGTCACCCCTATTCTGCACTGCCGTCAATCTCTGTTCTTCCCGTTCCGACCCCAAGCATGGGTCGGGCATTTGCAGCTACACCATTCATCCACCACATCTTTAGCCTTCCTCTTCTTTTTTCCAAGGTTTCCTTAAAGAGGATGTTTTTTGGGAAATGATATTCATTAAAGGTCACCAAATAAGTATCCCGATAGATTATTTTATTCTTTATTTTCAAATAAAAACTATTAGTTATATTTATTCTTTCTAAAATATTGTGAACTAGTTGGCCCATGTGAATAAGTGAACAAATGGCAAAATGATATCATTATAATTTAATTAAATGTATTTTGAGATGGAGAAATTTATTATTTTTTCTCAATCGAATTATAATAGTTCATTCATAATTATAAATTGAAACTTATGTGCCAATTGCAATTGCCTGTATCTTTGCTAATAATGGTCTAATTTCGATGTTTTTTAGGGAATTTATAAATAATTATGGGTGTAATCCAGCACAAATCGTAGAAGTTTTGATTTATGTAAAAACAAAATTTCATTTTTCCTTAATATTTACCCTGTTATTTGAGGGGGAAGGGGAGAGACTATTTTTCCTATCTAAAGGAGAAAACAATATTCGAAATGATTTCTGAATCATTGTACTAGAGAAAGAATAGACAAAAAACAAAACAAAAAAAAACTGTCGATGTAATACAATACAATTAGTTTAATTTCTTAATTTGTATATGATTATGAATCCATGACAACGTTGAAATAATTCATTTCTTTTTCTTTTTTTTTTTATCACCCAAGCTAACCATTTCTGGCGTACTGGTTAGAAAAGTTTACAATCGCTGCTAGTATAAGGTTGGGCCCATGCGTTATTTTAAAACCAGTACACTTTAGGACTTTAAAACGCAGGACCCAGTAATGTACTGAGAACTGACATCCGCGTCAAAATATTTAAGAAACAATCTGTCTCGTTTTGATAAGGCGATCTTTGGAACCGCCTGTTTTAAAATCGTAAGTTTTCAATGACTTTCATTGTAACTGGAGCAAGATTTTAATATTTTGAAATTAGGATTCGCCACCTATCCATGAAATAGCCTTTCGTTTGATATCTAATTTATCAATATCCCATACTACTCCCAATACCATATCTATGCAGATGATTTCCAAATATACCTGTCCTTCCTGCCCTCCGAACTATTATCTGCCACAGAAAAACTTCAACATAATCTGTGACTTGGCGGATGCGTACAAGTTGAAGTTAAATGCCGAGAAGACCAAGGCAATTGTGATAGGCTCCAGTCACCTCCTAAAAACTCTTCCTAACATACCGATCCTGTTTCTTCACGATAATCCCATCAAATTCTACCCCACCATTAAGAATCTTGGAATAACCTTTGATCAAACCCTTTTCTGGAAACACAATGTATCCGATATTTCCCGCTGTAACTTTTTCATTTTAAAAACGACTAAATTACCTCCGCCACCTATTTCCATTTGAAACCCGTATACTCCTTATTACTATCTTAACATTTCTTTACTTCGACTATTGCTGTACGGTATACGGAGGGTTCTCCGGGGATCTCGAGGCGAAACTAAATTGCGTTTGATAAATTGCCGTCACGATTCATCTTCGGGATCCCAAAGGACGCCTCTATTTCGCGTTATAATGATGAGCTGAAATGGCTTTATCCTTACTACCAACGTATTTCCTAGCATCCGTCCTGTTCCAAGTAATCCAATCCCGCCGTCCTTCATACATCTTCGAGCTCCTTCAATTCAAATCCTCTGTTCACTCCCGTAAAACCCGTTCCCGGTCTTCAGATTTGTATACAAGATCTCACCTAACCGCTGCTTTTGACAGATCTTTCATTATTCGGTCCACATTCCTATGGAATTCCCATCCTACATCCATAGCTCTGATACCCTCCCCACCTTTAAATCCCGCCTGTTCAATCATCTCTTATCCGTCCAGGTGTCATAAAATTGTAAATGGATGTTGTAAATATGTATATAAATAATTATTTTGTTTTAAATATTTTATTGAATTTTTTTTTAATTGAAGGGTGAAGGTAAATGATGTTCTTTTCTTTTATTTATTCATTATATAAATCAGTTTATTTTGTATTTATTCTCTGAGTTTCCAAAACCCACAATTCTATCTATCTCTGTACATTATACTAAAGGGACTTGTCCCAGATTAAATAAAGCTTTATTATTATTACCCGACGCTTCTGAGAGCCGGACAAGAGATTTATACTACCGTATCTATGTATATATATATATATATATATATATATATATATATATATATGACTGATTTTAATATAGGAAATCAATAACTAAGAAAACATACTGAAAAATGTTTACTTACATTCCGCAACTTATTTATATGTTTGGCTATGCCTGCCGTTGTTACATTACTGTCTCTACCTCGCTGCTGTAACCAATTAATTTCTTTTAGTATTTTTAAAGTTAAGTAATTAGAGTAATTATAATTAGATTAATTTATTAATTAGTGGTTATAATTTATGTTGATTAGTAATTATAAATGAGTAAATATAATAATATATATTAAAGCAAGATGATATGAGTGACTCCATATCAAAAACGAACATGTGTCATTTTCAGAAAATGGTAAACAAATCTATTTTTTTAGATTAAAAAATTATTTTTTTTTACATTGAAAATTTTTTTTTGTTTTTAGATTCAACTCAAACTGTTGCTGATAATTTTATTTAAGAATGTTCAAGTTAAATCTTAGAAAGAAAAAAATAGAATTGTACAGTCCCCTTTTTATCGAATTATTAACACCCGCCTGACATTTCTTGAATACTTTCTTCTTATCGTAACCTACAACTATTTTATTTACGAAAACTCTTGGAATTGGTGCGTTTTCAATCTGGAGGAGGACAAACTTTCTCTATTTAATTAGCTACTAAAAATTATAATCATTTGTCTTCTTCACGGATTGTAAGATAATTTTATCACGAAATCGAGAAACAAAGGTGGCCTTTAAAAATATTGAGCCATTTGGCTTTAACTACGTTGAAAGTAGAAAGCAAATGGGTATTTACGAGTTTGTAGTACCTGATTAAATATACCAAGTTTGCCCCTCCCTCCAGATTTAAAACGCCCCAATTCCAAGAGTTTTCGTAAATAAAACAGTTGTAGGTTACGATGAGTTGAAACTATTTACGAAGTTTCAGGCGTATTTTAATAATTCGATATAAAGGGGCCTGTACCAAGGTCTAGAAGCTACGTTACAAAAATTATTTTTTTATCAACTTTTTATAATTGACATGTCCATCTTTAATAAGAGACGACTCATATATACATATATATAAATAAATCTGTTGTATATCTTTGTTTCGTATGGAATTTTTCTAGAGATCTTTTTTAAAAAATATTTTACTTATTTTAAAGAGAAAGGTCGCAACGACACAAATTTCATTGGCCAATCTACTTTAAATAGAAATTATCTGCCAAAATTAAGCTATTCCAATAAGTCATTGAAATGTATTTTCAACATATCTGTGAACTTCATTCGTATTTATCAATGAAAAACTCATTAGTTAAACAAAAACGACTCCCTCTCCGGACGTCTATGATTTCATGAAGAATTGATGAAAAAATATTTTACCGACAAAAACAGCTTTTAGAATCTTCATATCTAATTTATTAAAGGTGGTCTTTTAAAGATTTTTTTAGGTGTAGATTTGGCCTTCAACCACCATATTTTTTTTTCTTTTTGAAGTTTTTCAAGAGAAATAAAATATTTTTTATTTTTTAGCAAATGGTAAGTAGTAGCTTGAATGAGAGGAGAAGGAAAGCGTTCACGTCTCTTAGGCCACCTGAACACTCGTCGTTTTAGCAAACCATATTGGAATTTTGCTGAGTTGATTGTTAATATTTAAAATAAGAAATAAATAAAATTGTTAACGTTTTTTGTGTAAACGTTTTGTTAAATATTTATATATTTCTACATCCTATAATTAATACATATAAGGCGATATATCAATAAATTGTTTGCCAAAGTTTATTTATTAAATTTGAAAGGAAACGATAGGTCTTTGGCAAACAGCTGTTTCCGTCTTTTTCAGAGCATAGAGGTATCGGATGTAAAGGCTTTTATTCAAATTATGACAAAAAATAAATAAAATATTTCAAAACAATCATGAGGTTCCTAATTGACTAGTAATCGAAAATTAACATTAACATTGACATACGTGAGTTATACTGGTCCTCCTAGTTGTAACAGCAGCGGCGCTACCTCTCGTTTCCTGGTCGATACCGTCAACGGGAGCGAAACATTCGCCACCAGCCTGAGGTAGAAGAACAAAATAAATAAAGATTATTAATAGAAGTAACAAGCTATGCTGAAATATCAGTACATGAAAATTAATAAAAAACTGCAGAAAACAGATAAAAACCGATTTAATAGTTTCATTAATGCTTACCTGAAAGAATTAAATACGATCTAAAAATCATTTAATTTATCAAAATAATTCAATCAACAAAATACATATGTCGACAGAGAACAAGTGAGTTGAGTGACTAAGTTTTGACAAAGCTTTGTAGGGCACTCCAATTTTGCTACCTTGGCTCAACACTTGAAAGCAATGGAAGAGGAAGGAAAGATATTGAGTGACAAACGGGCGGAAAGCGATTGGTATGCTCAATTCAGTGGTCTAGAGTGAAATTGTTTATAATAATGTAAAGAAATTAATATATTTAAGGCTTTAGTAGAGAGCATAATGCTCTATAGTTCGGACACCTGGCCGCTCGAGAAATCACAGAACAAAAGATTTCAAGCTGTGGAGATGAATTTTTGGAGGAGGTCGGCTAGAGTCTCAAGGACGTAGAGAATCAGAAATGAGACCATCAGAGAAAGAATGGAAGTTAAGAATAGTATACTAGAGAAAATTTAAAGATTACAGTGGTATGGGCACATGAAAGGAATGAATAGCGAACGACTTCCCAAAACGGCATTTGAGAGCCCGAGGGTAAAAGAAGGAGAGGAAGGCCTCATGTCAGGTGTAGAGATATTGTGGCTGAGGAGGAATCGATGGACAGGGAGAAGTAAATGAACCGACTGAGGGAGGAGTTTGGCTCAGGGAAACTTCAGTCTATGAAGAAAAAACTCTTAAAAATAAAAACAAATTGACGTCCTCACGTAACCGTAAAGATCTTAAGATTTACTTTTATTATAAAATAAACTGCTACATTGCCATATTGAGATATTTCTTTCAGATTAGGTTGAAAGCCTTAAAACAATAATACATATTGAGTTCTATACTTGGAATGGTATGTGTAGAATTACGGTGACATTAATATATGAAATAGTTAAGGAGAAGTGAATTTATCCATATTTATGGAGAATATCTTGGATGGTAAAGTTGCCATAGGAAAGTCGGCCTTTAGTTCAAAGCACAGAGGAGACCATCTTTTATTGGATACTAGCTTTACCCGGCCACGCGCTGCTGTGGCTTAGCCTGGCAAAATGAAAAAGAAAGCGCATATGAGTAGATTAGTAGCAAAGGACATCTGTCATTTTTAAAAAGTTGGGAAACAAATTTGTCTGTAGAATGGCTTCAATTGAAACTAATTCTAATTGTTTCTTATCTCATGATTCAAATTGAACACTCATAATCATCTGAGTAAATGCGCCGTCATTCATAATCATCAGAAACAGTCTGAGTTGAACTTATTAAACTAAATTAAAAAATTAATTTAAAAAAAGGATAATAGTATTGACCTACATAAGGAGAATCATATAAATACTTCAAATGATAATTTCAATTACTGTAGTAAATATAAAATTTTCGATTAATCAATAAAAAAAAAAAAAATACTTGCCGACGTTCGGCAGTGAAGAAGCAAAAGGAAACGGCCTTTTCTGAAGAGAAAGCAGTCAATGTTTAAAACTCAATAACTCTGCAACGAACCGTCCGATTTCGATGATTTTTTTTTTTTTTGTCAGCAATTCAGAAATCTTTCATATAAATATCGGCATTATCAGTCAAAAATTGTGTACTTTTTTAGTTATTGTCAAATAAAATATTGAATTCATCGTAATATTTTTCAGCTTGTTTTCAGGAAAGTATGTTATACACATGAATTAAAAGGAATTCAAGGGGAAGACTTTAGCCAAGTTTCGTTAAAATCGGTAAAGCCGTTTTGGAACTACAGTTTATAGCGACACATTTTTTGCGGCTTTGAACAGAAAAACATTTACATTTTTATTTTTTTCACATATATAAAATTATCGTAAGACAGAAGTACTATGCCAGAAACCTTCCCAGGAGTGTACGGAACAACTTCCCAAAGTTTCATGGCGATCGGTCGAATGGTTTAGTAATGCACTAAGGACAAACAGACGGACAGACAGATATGCATTTATTTATATATATATAGATTATGGGCAACCATGTGCAAACCATAACGTTATTTAATAAATGTCAGAGTCTTCTGTTATGAATTGATATGGTCTAAATTGGATTTGACAAACAATAATTATTGCCTCGTGACCGGTACTAATTGGGACAGATGTCTTGAATGGTTAAGTTATAACAATTTTAGTTAGAAAAATAGAAATAATCATATTAGGTTATTTCACATGTACATTATCGATCCGCAGATTCACTTTGAATGGGCTGTAGTGGTGCGAAAAACGTTTTAAAAAACACAACAAATATTTGGACATGGCGAGATTTAGACGGATATTTACCACCCTTCCCACTTCTTGGTTTTGTTCTCCGAATGCAACAATTAGATATTCACAGCTGTTGTATTGTGGCTTTCTGAGGGTAGATTTACATTAAAAATTAATCTGAGGTTAAAATTTAAACGTTAGAATAAAATTTGTTGCTGAAGACTTAGATTAATCTAGAATAATCTATTCAAATAATCCAGGTGTTTACTGGATTGAATCTCTCTGGTTTCTGGCCATAACTAGTTAAATTGACTTCTCAAATTGCTCTAAGTCGATCATTCTTCAACTCTTCAGCTCTTTTATAGATAAAATTTGGTAAGTCTACTATAGTTTAGAGTTTAGTATTTTACCAATGGCTTAAGAGCTCAATAGTAAAAAAAAATGGTCGACTAACCGCAACATAAGGATAAGTCGACTTAAGTAGTAATGGCCAGAAAAATATTGAATCCTATTTCATCTACCTTTTGGTTTATTATTTTCAATAATGAAGCATTGTGACCGAACAAAAAATTCAAAAACTTAACCCTCTCTCAATATTTGGGGTTTTACGTGTCAGTATACATAGAATTCGAAAAACGAATAAAAATGTATTTATCCTTCCGCCGTCCGCGCATTTTCTCCGAAACTACAGGACCGATTTTTTTTTTCCAAATTCGGACTTAAAGTTAGAGGTTTTTATCGAGTCTGGCACCCAGGACTGCTTTACAAACTCCGTAAATTCCTACACCCTATATACCTCCTCATTATCTGTTCCTATCTTACTGATAGATCCTTCAAAGTAAATCATAACAACGCCTATTCATCCCTTTTTTCCTAGTGCGCTGGTGTTCCTCAAGGTATTATCATCCTAGGTCCTATCCTTTACACAGTTTATACAGCTGATATCCCAACCTATCCTAACACTGTCATTACCACGTATACCGATGATACATGTGTCCTATCAGTTAATAACGACCCAACCATTGCATCCCGAACCCTTCAATCACACATCACAAACCTTGAAGAATGGTGTCAAAACAGGAGAATTAAAATAAATTCCAATAAACCCCATCAAATCACCGTTACCCTTCGTCGTAAACCTATGTCCTCTTATCCTACAGTATCCTTTAATAATACCCCACTTATCCCTGTTGAACAAATTCAATACCTTGGACTCCACTTAGACAAACATCTAACATCGAATCCTCATACCAGACTGAAACCACAAGAAACAGCTCGACGTTTCCGACTACTCCAGCACTTACTAGACAAACGCTTTAACCTCCCAGTTAATTACAAAAGACTCATATACATGACTGCAATAAGACCTATCTGGACTTACGGAGTTGAGCTCTGGGGCTCCACTAAGCCATCGAATTCCTCTCGTATCCAATCCTTACAATCCAAAATCCTTCGTAAAATCCTCACTGCTCCTTACTTTGTCATAAACCAAATCATCCATAACGACATTAATGTTCCTTATGTTTCTGTCCTGGCCCAATCCAGATACCTATCCTTCCATAACAAACTTCAGAACCATCCAAACCCTCTTGTTTCTAACCTTGCTTCCTCTTCGATCCGTGACAACCCTCAGAGGCGTCTGAAAAGAAGATGGTCTCGAGATCTCCTTTTGTAATTACATTTTTAGAGTGCTACCAATGGGTAGTTTCTCAACATGTGATTTCATGCTATTTTATTCCTTTGTTCACATTTACTGAATGTATTTTTACTTGTAATACAGTTGTAAATATCATCAATAAAAAAATAAAATATAAGTTAAAGGTCACCCGAGGATGATCCTCCTTCATCGATATTTCTATCCGTCTTTTCCTTTCAAGATGGCGACTGAAAAACCAGCGTTGCTATAGACTATAGTGCCTAAACAAATTCACCGATTTCAATGAAACTTCGCTAAAGTCTTTTTCTCGATTCCCTTTAAATTTATCTATATGACATAAATCAACGAAGAGAAGCTGAAAAAAAGTTACGAGGGATGTTAAAATTAGATTCCCAATAACTTAAAAAGTATACACTTAACTACGAAATTTCCTAAAAACTAAAAAAAAAAAAAAAAAAAAAAATCGTTAAAATCGGACTATTAGGAGCAAATATATGGTCTATAGATGGTTTATATATTATACTTCAAAAATTATTTCCTTTGTTTCGGTTTTTTATTTTTGAATGTGTTACTGAAGTAATATTAATTTTTTTGGCATATTACTAAAGAGTAAAAAAAAAAGTTTATTTGTAGTGTAGTAGTCCTATAATTGGAATTACCTTTTATTTATTTGTCCTTGTCACTAGGAAGGTACTGTTAACTTTAGATGTATAATTTTTTGGAAATAATAAACCATAGTGAAATAATTTACATGTTTTTTTTTTCTAGTTTAACCCCTACTTCGCCTTTTCTGGGGTATGTGGTTCTTATAGAAGTACGCGCAAATCGTTTTTTTAACCAGAATGGGACGGTAGAGATTCGTTCCGTGGGTCAGACACGGAATAAATTTTATCTTGCCAAGGCTCGATTTGAACCGGCATCACTACTAGACCCGAGAATGTTAAAGTAAGCGCTTTAACAAGCCCAGACAGTAACCGACATATTTAGTTTTTAGTATCAAATATACAAATTACTTTCGAAATTTACTAGAAGCGAATCATCTATTTGAGATATTTAGCCTGTGTAATACATGACAATACATTTTCTTTATGTATTATAATACATTTTAATTGCCATTGCTTACCATCATGGATTCTTTAGGCGGCACTTTCTGACCTACAGCCGCCGAGGACCTAGGTTTCGATAACGAACGCTTTTTGCTCTCCTTTTTCTCTTGGGTAGGTGCTGCACTGCACTGCTGAAACGTACGTTCTGTATTAAATCGATTATGCAGTGAATGGTGAACGCAGAAAGCCAGAAATATAGCAATATTTTACTATGTAATGCGATATTTATCATAGTAGAAAAAATAATAAAGAAATATAGATTACAGAACAGAGGTTCTACTTACACTTTTGGAAGATGAAGCCGTATTAGGACACTTTGCTTTAGCACCTTCATTAATCTGAAACATTAAAAAAAAAAAAAAAAAAAAATCAGTGATTATTTTACTTGATGCAACACAAATTAAGAATTACATACTACCTTTTCTTCTTTCTGTACAACGACAGGATTCACAGCATTATTTGCTTTATTTTCTGTTTTAACCTATACAGAACACCGCAAGAATTCATTAATATAATATCTTTATTGACAAATTATAGTCAAAGTCAAAAGGATAATTTCAAAGAATATAAGCACCTGATTGTTCTCAGTTACAGCTGGCAATGTTTTTTTCGCAGGTGGTTTTTCCTATAGATTAAATGTGAAGATAAATATTTTTTAAAAACCTAATAAGGCCCGTTTATAACGTGGCAATATACTCATTAAAGCAGAGATTATTATAAGAGTGGCATTAGTATTGATAGCATTGTTGTATACAGCGTGTCCTGTAAGTGATGCACTAGCGGATCTAGGATTTAATTTGGGGGGGGGGACTTCAGCCCGAAAGCTTTTTTTTTCATAAAAATAACGATAATTACTTTGGAAAAAAAGAAAGAAACTAACTACCTGTATGAAATGGTGTTTAAGTGATTCCTAATGCCCTTTTAAATGTAATTATACGAACAATAATACTTGGAGAGATAATTTTTTAATATTTTTTTCGAAAAAAAATAGTTATTTTTCCCATTTTGGGAGGGAGGCTTCAGCCAGAAAGTTCCCCTCCCCCCGTAGATCCGCCCGTGAGTGGTGGGGAATATTAAAAGGGATAATATAATAGTAGATCTCAAGAGCTACATCATGATTTTTGTTGAATAGGAAGCGATAAATAAAGAAATAATATTAATTTTATTAAATACAAACTTTGTCAGTGTAAACTAGACGATGTTTACTTGAAATGAAAATAGAGTTTGTCATTGATAAAACCATTCAAAAAAGAAGACTTTCAAGTCTCCAAACTAAGTTAAGTTCTATTTTTAAAAATATCATAAATGATTCGTGATTTTTTTTTCATCCTCCAAATATGCACTACAATTATAAAAAAAAATCATTAAATAATCTTCAAATCCACGTAAGATTGAGTTGAGGTTTATTATGAAAAACTTGATATTCACTTCAAATTGGGTAACCAATGATGTGATTTTATATTCTATCACTTAAAAGTATCCTTTTTTCAACAAAAATTATTACAATTAATTTTTGCAAAGGCTTTTTTCTTGTTTTTGAAGACCTGAGTTCTAGTTTTTAAAACTTTTAAAAATAATGATTTAACGATTATTGATCATTTGAAGTGGTGATGATGAGAAGGTGTTTTCTACCTAGATCTATATTATAGGAAAAGATCTATATTTATAAGTGACTAAATAAATGTTTTTAGCCCTAAAATGTAGGTTTAAAATAAAAAAAACCTGCTGAATGCATCAATTATTTTAATGAAAATGTAAATATTAGGATCAGAAACATTTAGATTATTTTTTAGTTAGCTTATAAATACGGATCAATTTCTCCAATATAAATCTTTGTAAAAACACCTTTTCAGTAACACATTAAATGATAAATAATTGGAAAATCATTATTTTTAACTTTTTTTTTTTTAAATAAAAAGTGTGTTTATACATTTTTTTTCAATTTATATTAGGTATGCATGTGTTGTTTTTTTTTCTTAGTTTTAATTTTCTTATTTTATTTTATTATCTATTGTATATACTTTTGATTATTATTTTGTTCTATTTATTTTATTTTTTTGTACATATAGTGTGAATGTCATCCTACCTCACTATAACTAATGTCCAAGAGACAGATTGTTATAATACTCAATAAAGAAATAAAAAAAAAAATATTATTATACATACCAGGTCATCGACAAATAAGAAATAATAGCTTTGAAACAATTAATTGTAATAATTTTTACTGAAAACACTTTCAAGTGGTAGAATATAAAAACCAAATAATTTTTTTACACAACTTGAGGTGAAGTTTTTACTAAATAAACCTCAAATTAATTTTATGCGAATATGGCACTTATTAAAGAAAGAAGTTTTTGTAAAAGTGGAGAGTCTGCTGTATAGTTGGATGATGATAAAATAAAAAATTGAGAATAATTTATGATTTTTTTTTTTAAAACAGAACTTAGCTTAGTTTAGCCACTCAACTGTCCCCTTTAAATGGTTTTACCAATGAAAAACTCTATTTTCATTTAAAGTAAGTTTTGTAGTTGAAAATCTGAAGTGATTGTTAACTACTTAAACTAAATATTTCTTTAGTTATCGCTTCCTATTTAACAAAAAACATGAGCTACTAAAAAAAAAGAAAGAAAATACAATACTCGAACTTTCTACATTTCAGCCAAAAATAGGACCAATATTTATATAATTTTTTTGTAGCTCTTGAAGTCTGCTATTACCCCTTTAAATATTTTCCTCTACTTACAGGATACCCTGAATATTGAATACATTGAAAAAATCTTGCTTATTGGGAATAATTAACTAAGTAAAATAAGACATTTCTATTCACGATTTCGTATAATAATTCGCTCTAGGTATAATAATCAACCATTTAATATTTAAAATATATTTTAACATATAAAGAGTCCTTACCCCCGGGTCCTTCACTGATGTTAGTGGAGATGGTGGATCAGGAGTTGAAGACTTCATCACCTCTGAGTTTGTTATAAGCTAGAATGTTAAAAGAAGCAGAAATAATTTATATTTTTAAATATATATACACTTCATGAAATATATAGAGTTTAATTGAAAATATGTAAGATTTTCACAGTTTTAAGTACGTTCTTAAAATTTAAATTTCCCCACCTTTCAAATATTTTTTCTTGTTGGCTACGCAAAATGTGTAACAAAATTTCCGCAGTTCGCAATAGATTTTTAAAGTTTAAATTTCTCTACTTAAAAAAATAATCTTAGAAAATGACGGGGGTACGGCTGTTCCTTAGAGTTGAAACGAAATTGGAAATAAAATGCGGGCGACAACCAGCACATTTCATTATGCTCCTCTTTGAAATCAATTTTGCAAGAATGTCAAAGATAACCAAGTTGGATCATTTCAATCAATAATTGGTTAAGTATACTTGAATTGAAGAATTGAAAAGTTTTAAAAGATACAAGCTGATATTTATTAAATAATGTTAAAGAAAGTGCCATTTGAAACTCCCACATTGTATCGATCTTATTATTGCAGTAAAGAGAATCGAATAGAAATAAATAGAATACATCTTCTTTTAAAAAATACAAATAAATAAGACTCCATAGATTAGAAAAAAAGCAAAAATGGTTGAGAACAATTCAAAAAGTAGTCTCGAGTCGGTGCCTGAAACGTTTGGTGTCATCACGCTGATAGTTTTAAGGCTTAGAACCGAAAAATCTTCAAGTAACCTGTACAATCAAAATGGGTACTTGAACTTGGAAAACTTGTAAATATGTAGCCATCATTATCTTTCTATTATATAAAAAAGGATTAGTAACTTTCATTTTTTATTTTAAAGGAAGGAGAAGATCCGGGGTTGCGGTCATAAATAGGCTAAATAGTGGTAAAACTATTTTATTGAAAGCCAAAGTTTCGATCCGACTTTACAGGTCTTCATCAGGGATGTGTGTTCATTACCAATATACATTCCTCCACCAATATACCCCCACAGGTAGTCAATATTTTAAGTTTAGGCCCCAATTTTTCTTCCCCCTCTTCCACATGCTCTCATCTCATTCCTAGCCTAATAACAAATCTAGAAGGCATCTATAGAGATAACCGTTTCGGTGCTAATGAAGAGGAGAAAGAATCATCCAGCATTCGGATCAGTAATATGATTTCTAACCACCTCCAACACTCCCCATCCCGTTCGTCCACTTTATCCCCTGTGTTTTTTAAAGATTTATCCTTAACCCGCTCTCTCCTGAAAACAAACGACCACCTCATTATTACTAAGGCTGACAAGGGAAATTCGACCGTTATTATGGACAAGACATAATACACACATAAAATACACCAACTACTTTCAGACCAACAACTTACGCACCCTCCCCCCGTGACCCAACCCGTACACTAATGTTAAAATTTAACCACCACATTAAAAACTTACTAGAGACTAAACAAATTAACCGTCCCACTTACCTTCCCTTCCTTTATAATGCAACGGTCAACTATTAAATATTCAATATTTTATTTTAGTATTAGGAGAGTAGGAGATAACAGGAGCTCAGATTATTTCTATTCTATTCAGTCGGCACAACTATACATCGAGTCTTGTCCTCCTGTAGCAACCTCCACCACTTGCTCCTATCCTTTGCAGCCGCCATCCAGCTCCTCACTCCCAATATGGACCTGGCATCTCCAGCCACACTGTCACTCCACTGAAGCCGAACAAGGTCTTCCTCTACGCCTTGTTCCGTGTATTACTTCTGTACTGATGTTTTTTTGGAATGCCATTCTCAGCCATTCGAGCGACATGCCCAGACCATCTCAATGTATCGAGCTCCATGAAATGGACCACGTCTGGTTGTTTAAACAAATCTCTTTTAAACAAAGCTCCGGTTTGTCCGACGTCTCCATAACTGGTCAACTTTCACAGCTCCAAAGATTTTACACAAAATCTTCCTCACAAAGACCATTTGATTCTGCTCGTCAGTTTTGGAGACACTCCATGTTTCTGAGCCATAAAGAAGTATCGGTCGCATACTCGTTTTATACAATTGGATTTTTGTTCCTCTGATTAAAGCACGGCTCCTAAAATTTGGACTGAGGCCATAATAACAACTATTGGCACATAGCATTCTTCGCTTAATTTAAGAATCCACAACATTATTATGAGGGATCCAAAATAAATAAATTCTGACACTTTTTCAATGGAGAATTCTCCGATGGTAAAGTATTCGGTCTCGGATTTTCCTCAGTGACCATATATTTGGTTTTTGCAGCGTTGACTTTTAAGGCCCATGTTTTCTTGCAACTTCCACTAGTTTCAAGAATCCATCAGAGACTGTCTGAAAAGAGCATCCAGCAATGTCGATATCATCTGCATAAACAAGAAGTTGCACTGCCAGGCTGAATACTGTTCCGCCCACTTGAATACCTGAATCTTTAATGGACTTCTCTAAAGCTGGATCAAAGAGGAGACATGCCAGCGCATCTCCCTGCCTTAGTCCTTTTCTAGAAGTGAATTTTGCCGATCTTGCTCCTCCAACCTTCACCATGCAATTCACTGCAGGTGAATCTTACCTGGTGTTGCCCAAAATCGGTATTGGTCTTGCACTTTGCAAGACCAAGACCAATGCCGTCTGACTGTTGCAACTCCAAGAAAAGGACTGGTAAAAAGAAATCGAATTTTTTATTAAATTATGGCAAAATAGTTACTAACACTCGACAATCTTAGTTACTATATGTTACTAATTGATATAACCAATATAATTTTGCATTTAACTGCTATAATTTTTCATTCGGTCTTAGTTAGGCTTCTCCTATCTTAACAGTTACAGTAATATCTCTATAATAATAAGCTAATAAATAACTACAAAACTGTTGCGATACCAAGACCATGACCAAGACTGAGTTTGCAAGACCAAGACTCATCTCGGTCTGGCATTTGGGCAACACTAATCTTACCAGCTCAGCTTATGAAGCGGTTATTTTAAAAATTACACAGCTGATCATTTAATTACATATGTGTAGAGCTCTTGTTACCTGCTACTTTCCAAATACGAAATGAAGATTTTATAATAAAAATTTTACGGGAAATAGTATTCATCAGGATGTTTGATTTTATCTCTGTGACGGCAGTTATTTTTCAATCTAGTCATTAGAAATAAAAGGCTCAACACTCCTACACTCCTAGTATTACTTGATATGTATATTTCTGATTCCTTTCATATAACAAATCGAAAATTCAGCAATGCTCTACAAATTCTATCAAACAGCTTGTAAAAATATTTTTTTTTTGTACTTACGGGAGTTGTTGTTTCAGCTTTTGGTGTCGAAGAAGCTTTACAAGTAGTTTCAATAATTTCCTATGGGAAAATTATTAAGTAGATTAGATAAATAATACAAAGTAAATAATACGAATACATTAAAAATTAGAAGGATAATGCGAAATTATGTCCCAAGGAGATTGTAGTTTGAGTAAAATTTTATGTTTGCCGGCTGACAATAATGAAAATCAGACCAAAAAAAAAAAAAAAAGAACTATAAAGAAAAACTATCATAAGAATATGACAAAAAGTCATAATTGGAATTAAAATAATTATTTTTCAATAAAAATAATATATAAAACATAATATTTATGAATTAACTCACGCCCGATTAGATTAGAATTCGAACGAGGAAAGTTACATGTTAAGTGAAAAAAAGTTACATTTGAAATAGAAAAGAATACAATTGAAATAAAACTCGTACGGTTCCAGTGTGCTTGAAATGCGCATGCGTCGTCAAAAATCTGATTCTGACTATGACTTCAGCGTCCTTTAAAATCTTTTAAGACGACCTCAATGGTGAATAAAACCTTAACAATAATTGTAAATTTAAATAAGCTTGCGCGGTCAAAAATCCCATCATGAATTTGGGACAGCGTCCTTAGGAACTCAGTAAATGATCTGATTACCGAAGAAAACCTCAGAACTAACAGTAAATCTAAATGCGCATGCGCGATCGAAAATTCTATATTAACTCTGGATTCAGCGTCTTTGAGCTGGAAAACGTAATGAAAGATGGATGAAATAGACACTCCCTCTCCCCCTCCATCGTAAAATAATAAGTAATTGTAATGATAATGACCTATAAAATTAAATTCTTTATTTTTCTTTTAGTTGTAAACCTTTTCAGTTAAAAATACCGCTATATCAACCAGCTTTTAGTTGTTATTTGATCAACTGTTTACAATTCTGTATTTAATAGTTGTTAGATGTAGGAAAGATTTTTGATGTAATTTATTCTGTTATGTAATTTATTGATGTTATTTATTTACTATTTGATGTAATTTTTTCCAATTGCATTATTTAGTTATTTCTTGTTGAAGAGAAGTTGTTTGCTGGGATTGCAGTCATTGGAAGTAAAGATTATATATATATTTTTTTAAGCAATGTTTCGTCAGGGATATTCTTTTTTTAACGAAATCTTCCAACAGTCAGCAACTATCCACACCATCATGAATTTAGGAATTTCATTCAATTTAATATAATTTAAATATTAGATCTAACCACCCACTAAAAACTAATTTAGATGAATGAGTATCTGCGTACAGCTAAAAACTAATAATATTGGCATCTTTATCTTACTATAATATAGTTAACTAAGCTCAACATTGCATATTTAACTTTTTTTTAAGTAAGGAGATAGTCCGGAGTGGCAGTCATGAAAAGACTGAAATAGTGAAAAAACTATTGTTATTTCAAGCCAACGTTTCCACCTAACTTTGCAGGTCTTCTTCAGGGATGTGTATGCAGCAACACTTCTCTGAAGAAGAACTGCAAAGTTTGGCCGAAACGTTGGCTTGAAATAACAATAGTTTTTTTTTTTCTTTTCAGTGTTTTTATAATCGCCACTCCTTACCATCTCCTTACTCGGTAATATACAACGGTTAACGATCAAGTATTCAATATAACTTTTTTTAGCACTTACCACTTTTGCTTTTTTCGCTGGAACAGGAGAACAAGAATTCATTCTTTCTTCAACGGCAACCGCCTTTAAATACAAAAAGTAAATAAAACAAAAGACATAGGGACACTTATAAGCTACTTTAAAGTTCAAGCATAGAAAATTGGTATAAAACAATTTATAAAATTTATAGTGTTTTCTCTCTTTATTATACAAAAAAGTTTTTTGTGACCGTGTAATATTTTATTTTTCCATCGCAACAAATTAAAATTCTGGGATAACGAAGCCTTGAAATTTATTTATTTTTTCCTGTTTATGCTATGTTTAAAAAATAATACGGTCTAAGATACAGAATACATGTAAATTACAATTATACAATTTGTGCAACATGTAGTAAAATTGAATGAAAAGTTGTTTAATTTGTTAGATGAGGTGGTGGTACAGTAGTATTCAAATTTACAAACCTTTTCTGTTGTTTGACGTGCACAGGTGGACTCACAATTGATATCCAGTTTGCTTCCATCGACGGAAGTTGGAAAAATCTCATCAAGTTTTGGTCTGTTCAAGGTTTCCTCAGGTTTCTATAAAAGAATAATCATTATATATCTTGTCGAAATCCGCTAATATAATATTTCTGGTCATCCTGACAAGTTTTCTTAACATTTCCGTCTCAGAAAAGCCGTAAAATAGACAAAGCTACATATGTTAAATACTTAGGGAAGAAAATAAATGCAATAATCAATGAAGACTGTAACATTAAAAAATCTTATAACTCATCTAACAAGGGGATGTATCTTACGGACGTGGGTTCACTGATTTCAAAGAAACCTTTTTTGGTGATACAAGGTCGGAAAATATTATACCTATGTCTGAGAGATCTTGTCAATGCCCCCAGGAGTCAATAAAAAAATTATAAAATTTTAGAAATTTATTATATTATTGTTTTCTGCCTTTACTATACGTGATATTAAGAATTAACCATTTCTCATTGTAGTTCTCATTGTTGTAGATTTGCACTAGCGGATCCAGGATATAATTTTGGGAGGGGGGCTTCAGCCCAAAACATTTTTTTTTTTTTTATAAAAATAACCATAATTACTTTCGAAAAAAAGTAAGAAACTAACTACGTATATAAAATGGTGTTTAAGTGATTCCTAAAGCCCTTTTAAATGTTATTAAACGAACAATAATACGTTGAGGGATAATTTTTTTTTTTTTTTTATAAAACATGGTTATATTTTCCCATTTTGAGGGGGGGCTTCAGCCGGAAAGCCTCCCTCCTCCCACCAGATCCGCCCGTGTAGGTCTGTATATGTCCTTTAAAATGTTACAGTAGATTTCTCCTATCTTGAACGCTATTATCAGAAATGACATTACAATCTTCCTGCAGTGTTAGTATTTTGTATGAAACGAAGATTCATCCGTTCCCCTTGTGTAGCGTAAAAATGGTATAACCAATCCATAACATATTTTTTCCTTTTATGGGCACCTCAACCCGTTCGAAATAAAACGGCCGATGGAATACTGAGTCGCGAGGATCATTCTGGGGTCAGATATAACTTTTCTAGTAACTTTATTATAGGCTACAGTATAATTAGTTTGAATAAATTTAGTATTTTTTCTTTATTATCACAAGCGATCGAAATATGAGCGTATGAAAAATATAATCGGCCGCCAATGTGAAATAAAATGGTAGATGAGATTAACGTCGAGTCCTTTGGTCATGTTGGTTTTTATTGTTATTTTAGACACAATCTAATAAAACAATTTTGCAACTGCTGAGAAAAACCATGGACCAAAAAATTGATTTGTATTCGATTTTTGATTCTACATATCTTGAAACAGAGATACCTGTATAATAATTAAATTATATTCCACTCCAATATTCCCTATGTCGTATTGTCCTTTACTTGGTGGACGACAAAGGTACATTAATTAATCCATACAACAAACCAAAAAAAATAAAAATAAAATCTAAAAAGTAAGTTTCATTTTATAATATATATGTAGATGAAAAAATGTATAAATGAAAATACCAATTGTTCCTTCACCAAGGTTGGTCCATTCGACAATGTGTTTTCTGCTTTGACCGATGGCGGTACGGTATCTTTGGTATCCTGAAATAAAATAAATTAAAAAAATTCAGAATTGGTAAAGCCAGTATACCCCATTAACAGGGATAATAATTTTACTACTGACAAAATACAGCAGATAGTAGATTTTTTAATAGTAAAACTTTAAATAAAATATTTTAAATTAAAATATATACCAATCAACACTTTAAAAAAACATTTAATTTTTTTCCCTTAATATTGTTTTAGGAAAAAAAAAAATTGTGGATAATATTGTCTTGCATGAGCGTTTGTGGTTGTAGCGCTCTCCCTCAATCTCAATCTCAGTATCACCCTGGCCTGACTGTATTTTATATTTTTAGTTATGCATGATTTATTTTTCATCGATTTTTTTTGTTATTAAATGCATTGAAAATTAATACACATAAGATTTTATTTTATTAAGAAGGGGTGGCCGAACGGGCTAACGTTTGTGCACAGCACCGCGTTTTCCATCAACCCGTAGGAAAATAATTTGATAAAATAATTACGAGTTCCCGTCCCGATATCGAGCGGTCTTTCACTCTCAGGCCCGGGAAAACCCAGTTTAGCCTAAATATAGTAAATTATATTATAGTATAGTTTATATTTGACCTTCGGATATTGTATGAAAGAATTAAAAAAACAATGAAATTAATCGTGTTGTGATATTTTTTTTATGGTTGCAAATTGTAATAATTTTGTAAAATTTTATAATTCGTGTAATATCCTACGTTCCGCACTACCTGTCTGCTGCATCTATTGAATGAATGAAATTGGCATAAATAAATTACAAAATATATAATCGATATCACACATGGAGACAGTGGAAAATTACGTTTGTTGCGGTATGTGTGTTATTATCACAAAATGTATTTCATTTTATGAGAAGGAATTAGTCGAGGGTGCGGTCAAAAAAATAAAAAAAAATTAAAATATATAAATAATTTTAATTTTTGCCGACGTTTCGACCCACTTTGCAGGTCGTCTTCAGGGCTACAAAAGATACAAACATGTTGAAAAAATAAAAATAAAATAAAAAATAAATATAAGTATATATAAATTACGAAGAAGTTGTCAGATACAGAAATAAAAGATAAAGAAAATAAATACATGATAAGAAAATAGATAAAAGAAAATAAATACATGAATGTTAACGAATAAATTGATTGAAAATTGAATAACTATTGTTACTGTAAAGTTAAAATATGGACCTTTCTTAACACACCTATCCTTCAACTATACACCTTATTATTATCTTCATACAGCCTACCATTCCATTACCGCTTTCAAAAAACTAAATGTCAATTGTCATCTATATATAGTACAACCTGTTTTTTGTTTCTTTATCATCATAACCTTGTTTTTACATTTATTCTTACATTTTAAAGTATTCTTTTAAAATTATTGTTTTCTTATAGAGTTATTTATACTTAATAATCTATCCCAACAATATTACACTAATGTTACCCTATTAATCTTTCAATTTCTTCACTTCTTAACCTTTGGTCCCGTTATCTGTTTATTTACAATTAAAGGTAACCTCCACTTGCTTGTTATCCACTGATATCTTATTATTATGTTATCTTATCCATATTTTAACTTTACAGTAACAATAGTTATTCAATTTTCAATCAATTTATTCGTTAACATTCATGTATTTATTTTCTTTTATCTATTTTCTTATCATGTATTTATTTTCTTTATCTTTTATTTCTGTATCTGACAACTTCTTCGTAATTTATATATACTTATATTTATTTTTTATTTTATTTTTATTTTTTCAACATGTTTGTATCTTTTGTAGCCCTGAAGACGACCTGCAAAGTGGGTCGAAACGTCGGCAAAAATTAAAATTATTTATATATTTTAATTTTTTTTTATTTTTTTGACCGCACCCTCGACTAATTCCTTCTCATATCATATCAACGGTCAACCAACTCTACATCATTATTTCATTTTATATACTAAAAGTCCGTGGTACAGACCCCTTTTTATGAAATTATTAACATCCCTCTGGAACTTTTTTAATATATTCTTCTCATCGTAACCTATAAATATTTTATTAACGAAAATTCTTTTAATTGGTGCGTTTTCAATCTGGAGGTCGGCAAACTCGTAAATACCCATTGGCTTTCCACTTGAATCGCATGATAATTTGAGCACAAAATCGAGAAAAAAAGGTAACTTTCAAAAATATTGAGCCAGATGGCGTGACTCAAATTGTCAAAATAACTAGGTCATACATATAACATACATATAACTAACGGCCAAATATTTTTGTAAGCCACTTTTTTAATCGATTTTGTGGTAACATTATCTTACGGTCCAAGTGGAAAGCTAATAGGTATTTACGAGTTTTTAGTACCTTAGTAGTAGACAAAGTTTGCAGACCTCCAGGATGAAAACGCCCCAATTTACGAAGCTTTAAGTGGATGTTAATAATTTAATAAAAAAGAGTCTATGCCACGGACTATTAAGTTTACTTTATTTTAATTTGTTATATATACTTCATGTTTATTATATAGTTTTTATTTTAACCATATCTATAAATAAGGTGAGAATGTTCCATAACCGTTGGCAATAATGTAATAAAAGGTTATATCACACACAAAAAAAAAAAATTGACTTTTGAATTTTCCGCTAAAGAAGTTAACATGAGAATAAAAATATGTTCCAAGTATTTACTTCTGACAAAATGTAGAATGTATAAATTTAAAAGATACTCCAAAACTAAATAATTTAAGAAATCCAAAAAATATTAATAGTTAATTTAAGTTGAAAATTTTCCGAATAAAGGGAGGAATAGACCGAAACAGTTTTGTTAATTTTTCTTAGATCCGGAAAGAACGATTTTCACCCCGTTTATGAAAAATTTCAGTTTTTCATGCTCTTTCATTTTTCCGCATAAAGAGCTAACTAGTTTTTTAAACATCGAATATCTTGGTATGCAAAGTATTATAATTATGGACCATAATATCCATATAAACAATTAATTTTAACATGTTACAACATACCTTTGTTATCATACATTCTCCGGTTTTTCGAGTACCATTATCCTTCTTAATACAACTCTTTTGTTCCTCGGCAAGCTTGGTAGCTGGAGTAGCAGAAGGCTGTGGGTTCAAACAGATTAATGCCGTATTTTATTGATTGGCAAACTAATTGACAAGAAAGTAACATTTAAAACCGACCTTTACTTGCTGATGCAGTAGGTCAAACAATATAATATATAATATATAATATTGTATTACAAATAACATATAATATTTAGTATCTCCACCTTGACAAACGACTCACTTGGAACCAGACTGAAACGACTAGAAACCGCCCGACGTTTCCGACTACTCCAGCACTTACTAGGCAAACGCTCTAAACTGCCAACTATTTACAAAAGACTCATATACATTACTATAATAAGGCCCATTTGGACTTACAAGATCGAGCTTTGGGGCTCTACTAAACCATCAAATTCCTCTCGTATCCAATCCCTACAATCCAAAATCCTTCGTAAAATCCTTAATGCTCCCTACTTCGTCACAAATAAAATCATCCACAATGACCTTAATGTACCATATGTTTCCGATTTAGCTCAATCCAGATACCTGTCCTTTCATAATAAACTTCTGAACCATCCGAACCCTCTTGTTTCCAAACTTGCTTCTTCTTCTATTCCTGATAACCCTCCGAGGCCTCTAAAAAGAAGATGGCCTCGGAACCTTCTAATATAGAAATATAATTGGAGTGCTACCAATGGGTAGTTTCTCCTCATGTTGTACATGTCATATTACTTGCTCATATTTACTTGTTGTATTTATTATTAATTACAGTTGTAAATATCGTTAATAAAAAAAATATATATTATAACTATTATTCTATATTTTTATTATATAATGAGTTTATTTATTATTAGTACAATCTGCCACGTTAAGTATTAATACTACAAGAATTTGCATCATTCTAATGATAAAAAAATTATATGGCGCATTCACACCATTTTAAGTCAACGCGTACTTCATCTCCATGTCGTATTCATTTTTTAGAATATCTCTCTGACAGTTTTATTTTCAATTTAACATATATTGGAGGTATCAGCTAAACTTTAGCTCATGACTAAAATTTAGTTATTGAAATTTTAGTAAATCTGGCAGGCTTTGTAGTTGAGAAGATATCCTTTCAGACATATAGTGTATACAACGAGTTTACTTCAGTTGCACAACATTAAGATATTACACACTTAGACATGTAGTGTTCTAGGGGGTGTGACATTGTACATTTTTAATAAAGTTAATAATTTCATGAAAATAACTTATTAAACCCGTTCATCTCCTCTCAATGCTTCAGTTCATTTTATTTATTAATGAAAATTAATAACATTTCAGACCAACTTAGCCCATTTTCAAGTAGAATTTTTTATATCCTTATCTTATCCACACCTTCTTCAAATAATTATTTCCAAACCATTTATGAAAAGTCCATTCTATAATTTAAAAATACTGTTGGAGACGTCTCACTAGTTATATCCTTTATAAATTTTAATAAAAATAATTTTTAACTTGGCGTGTTCAAAAGTATTTTTAAATTGTGGAATGGACTTTTCATGAATAGTTATGAAACAATTATTTGAAGAAGGTGAAGATAAGATAAGGATATAAAAAGTTTGATTTGAAAATAGGCAGAGTTGGCCTGAAACGTTGTTGTAATAAATAAAGTGAATTGAAGCATTGAGAGTAGGTGGAAGGGTTTAAGATGTTATTTCGTTAAATTATTAATTTTATTAATTAATTAAAAATACTCTTGGAAAATTTGAAGATTTAATTAAAAACTTTGTACATTCTTATTTACCATTTACGATTCTCAATTATCTTGTAACTGTGAGGCCACAACGACATGTATTACGATTCAATCGCCCCCCCCCCCGCCATATCGCTCAGCAATATCGTACTGTCCAGTCTGTCACTGGATATCAGTTTCCTTCTTGTTGCCTACTGTCATAGTCTAACCAAATTTCTTTCAAGTAATGAATGAAAATATATTTTATTATTCTGGGACTGTTATCCCTTTAGAACAAATTTATAAGTACTGAATACATATATAAGTGGTTATAAAGAGAGTAAATATTTACAATATTGATTATTTAAAAGTAAGAATACAGACGGAGAGAGAGAAAAAGACATGAAAAGCGTACATATATACATACATATATATATATATATATATATATATATATATATATATATATATATATATATATATATATATATATATATATTTTACCAGTCTTGCAGCAGTCAGACGGTCTTGGTACAAGGGCAAGAGCAAAGTGCAAGACCATGACCGATTTTGGGCAACACTATTAGTCCGTGGTACAGACCCCTTTTTATCATATTATTAATAGCCGCCTAAAACTTCGCAAATAGATTTAACTCATTGTAAACTACAACTATTTTATTTACGAAAACTCTTGGAATTGGGGCGTTTTCAATCTGGAGGAGGGCAAACTTTGTCTATTTAATTGGGTACTAAAAACTCGTAAATTCTCATTTGCTTTCTACTTGGATCGCAAGATAATTTGTTCATAATCTCGTTATTTTGAAAATTTGAGGTTGTAGGTCACGCCAAACAACTCAATATTTTTGAAGGGCACCTTTTTTTCTCGATTTTGAGATCAAATTATCTTAATATCTAAGTAGAAAGCAAATGAGTATTTATGAGATTTTAGTACCTAATTAAATAGACAAAGTTTGCCCCCTTCCAAATTGAAAACGCCCCAATTCAAAGAGTTTTCGTAAATAAAATAGTTGTAGGTTACGATGAGATGAAACTATTTAAGAAGTTTCAGGCGGATGTTAATAATTCGACAAAAAGGGGTCTGTTCCACGGACTATTAAGTTTACTTTATTTTAATTTATAATATATACTTCTTGTTTATTATATAGTTGTAATTTTATATATATATATATATATATATATATATATATATATATATATATATATATATATATATTCTGTAAATAAGGTGATTTTAAGATACTACAACTTACTTTATTAATTTTACATTCTCCGGAAACGGAGGTTTTTCGCGTAACAGTTTCTTCATTCTTAATCCGATTTGTTTCGTTCACCAGCTGGGGAGCTTCAGTAGCAGGAGGCTGTGGATTTGAAAAAAAATTAAAAATTACGGTATTTTAATTATTGGCATTTCAATTGATAAAACAATAAAAAATAAAAATGATGCAGTAGAGCTCTAGTTGTAAAATAATATGTTCCATAAATTACGATATTATGCTAATAAATTAATTTATTTCTTGCGGTTTATGTACCAATTTATTTTTAATGGTTTTCAATTTTGACCTGATTTCCAGTAATAGTTCTCTCTGGTGATGCAAAAAGTGTGCAGCTCCGATCTTTAAATCTTTCCGACATTTTCTGTCAGATAGGAACACATCCATTTTCCAAGATGATGTAGTTCTTGGAATTACTTCCTCGTCCTTCTGATGAGTGTAAAATTATATAACTAAGAATATGTCAACATTATCTCAACAACTAACAGAAAGTTAAATGCCATTAACCTTGCTTGCTGGCGCAATAGAATGAATGAAAATAATTGAATTATTCTGGGACTAGTGTCCCTTTAGAACAAGTTACAAATACAGGATTTATATTAATATTCAGTTGTGTCCATAAAATACAATTAAATATTTACAGAATGATTAGGAATCCATTTAATTATAGATAATAAAAATATATAAAAACGTGTATAAATATAAAATAGATCGCTCTCTGCCTGTCAACTGTTGTTGACAGTAACATTATTGAAGCAGTTCAACGTTAAAACGATATTGTGACGTTGGTAGGACTTACGGTACAATTGTAAGTAGGCTGGTACGTTCAAGTAACCTGGAGGGCTAACAGGTAGTGTTGCCTAAATGCGAGACCAAGTAACTATGGTCTTGGTCTTGCGCTCTCAGTCTTGGGTTTGGTCTTGGTCTTGCGTAAGAGTCTCGCAAAAGTCTTGTAGTTACCTATTGGCTTATTATTATAGAGATATCACTGTATTTTTTTCGAAAGAAGAAACCTAACTAAGCCCGAATGAAAAATTTGAAGAGTTAAATGCAAAAGTATATTGTTTCTACCAATTCTACATATATTAACTAAAATTGTCCATTATTAGTAACAATATTTCCTTAATGCAAAAAATCGATTTTTTAACTAGCCTTAGTCTCGGTCTAGCAACAGTTAGCCGGTATTAGTGCAAAGTGCAAGACCAAGACCAATTTTGGATAACACTAGTCACATTTCCCTAGCACAGCCTGTAGACTGTCAATCACTTTTCAACTTTCTTTGAATGATCCAATTCCAATCATTCAATATCTCATTCTTATAATTTATTTATAAAAATATAATGTTGTAGCACATAGTAACTGATAAGCCAACAACTTTTTAACGAACTGCTTTGTTTTTTAGCAGTCCTTGTCCACCCTTCAAACCATTGCACTGATGACGACCTGCATGTTTGGGTGGCCACGTCATATTTTTTTGCTGCACATCCTGACTATTTTTCATCCTTACGATTTCAACAGTAAACTATACAGGGTGCCTCTGTTCTTAATGACCAAACTCTAGAGAATGATTCTAGAAGAAGTTTCTAACAAAAAATCTGGTGCGTTGAGTGCATCACACAACTTTCACATACCACCCTCTTTTAAGCAGAAATAAGGATTTTCAGAAAAAGGGGGAGTGAAATTAAAAATCATAGACGCTGTATTTATTTATATTTTTTCTTGATTTTGTGATAAAATTATCTTAAGATCCAAGCGGAAAGTAAATGAGTAGTTACGAGTTTTTTTAGTAGCTAATTGAATAGACAAAGTTTGCTGACCTCTAGGTAGAAAACGCCCCAATTCAAAGAGTTTTCTTAAATAAAATAGTTGTAGTTTACAATGAATTAGATCTATTTGCGAAGTTTTAGGCGGATATTAATAATATGATAAAAAGGGGTCTGTACCACGGACTAATACATTTTATGAATGAAATCAGTTGATTCATAAACTTACCAGTTCGTTTTCAATAACTTCATGAGTTGCCTCTTTGTTTCCATCTTTCTTAGTGCCAACGGTGATCGTATTGATATCCGGTTCCTTTGAAAATCAATATAACAGAGAAATTATAACTAATATTTTCATACACATCTTTTTAGGATTCATAAATAACAAATAATAAATGTTGATCCTCACTAAATATTTTAAATCTGAATTACATTTAATAACGTTGATAGCATTTTGCGTAACATTCAAATTCGAAGAACACAATGTGTTGGACTATTAATCATTCATTTACTCCTTATTGCTTTGAACCTGGCTATTCCTCTCAAAAAACTCCTTTATACATTATACATTGGTTTTATATACATAGATAGATACATTGGTCTTAAAATAATATAAGGTTCTTTTTAAATGTGCTATTTATTTAGTTTTTGTAGGTGTGAAATTAGATACTGTTCTAATTTTCCACCATACAAGTAGCAGTTCCTTCAAGCGACAGACAGAAGGTGGGGCAGCGACCATCTAAACAGTTAGGTATAGTAGAAGATAAATAGTGTGCTTCTTTCTATCCGAATTCACGTGTTAGAACATATTATATGCCTGTATAGCGGTTGCCTTCCGAGGTTATGATTTATTCAAGCAAGAATTGGTCCTACAAACGTGAACACACTAATGAAATATCGGCCAATGAATGACAACTCGCTCGCTTAATATGCAGAGGTTCGATTAAAGTGTACTGATGGTAAAATAGAAACAACGAAACAGTCAGTTAAGGTTTCGATCCAAAGATCTTAGGGATAATTTTCCCCTGACGGAGTCCATGTCGAATATTAAACTTACCACTGAAACACACCTGTAACAGGAGGAAAGAGATACATAATATATCTATTTTTTATTTTGATATAAGCTTCAATAGGTAAACTGTGAGGCTGTTGCCAAGGAGTCGTTGTATATTCATCAATGAAAAAAATAAATGACTGATTTTTCCGAAGATGTCACTGCCATAACTGTGACGGAAAATCTCTTGTCACACCCCAATACTAGTGTTAACTAAACTACCTTGTGTAGTTCAGTAACGAGGGGTCATTCTGATTATCGATTTACTGCCGACAATATGTATCGATTGGCATAGAGGATTTATATACTTATTTCTTTGCAGTGGAAAAATCGTACAGGAGTCGACCAAGACTTGATACCCTGTAGATGTTTAAGCCTGGTAGCGATCTTGAACTAAAATTATTTGCCTATAATATTCTTTACTGTATTTATATTGTATTTATATTTTGGGCGTTCTACTAATTATTATTATATTTGCATTATATACAGCATGTGGATGCCGAGTTGTTATTGTTCATTTTAGCTATTTATATTGTTATTTTCATATATTTATTGTAGTTTATATTTATAGTAAAATATATTTTTAGTATATTATAGTTATTAATTTTGTGAATTATTTAAATTTATAGATATGGTCTCATGCATGAGGGATAATACAGTATAATATCTATATATAAATGTTATATATATATTTACACCCATCTTATACCATCATAAGCCTCTTATAAAGTATGTAACAACAAAATTATAAAGATATTTCATAATTATTATGTAATATATTTAATGTTTCATTAAATATGAATTATTTTAATTCATTAATGTTTAAAATTATTTAAATATGAATTTAAGTTAAAAAATAAAATTTTGAAGGCCAGACCTCAAACTTGTCATGCCTGCCTCTAGCAGTTACACCAAAGTTAATCAATTGTCGTTAGATTCATATTTATAACGTTAACCGAGCCCTTTCAGTCTAATCTGATCGCTGTGTCACACGAACTTTATAGACACGAGAAATCGTTGACTCAGTATGTTTGAGCCATCAAACCAAGCGGTTGGAACAAGGCTTCACTAGGAGAGTTATGGTGTTTGAACCATTCGGTTGGTTATCTCTGATTCGCCTTCAGTAAAAACTAACCGAATGTACAACAAACATTAAAACAACCCTCTCTAATTATCGGAGCATCTGATAATGAATTAATAATTCCATAGAAAGATTTTCTCCTATTTATTTCACTTTAAAATTATTAATGTCTGAAAGTATAGCCATTTAACTGTTATATATCTCCAACAGGAATAAATCAAATTCTTTCATAAGCTAAACCGAAGTTTAAGAAAGTTGTGTGAAGTTTCTTGCTCGTTCGCAAACCAGGTTAGACAAATATTTGTCATAATTTTAAATAATTGGTATCTTACCTTCAATGACGGATGTTGCTTTCCTTTTGATTTCACAGATAGATCGTGAATAACGCTCATTTCCCTTAGCGGCAAGCCATTTGAACTCGACGATTCGTCGGATGAATCTTCATTCACCTGCGTTAATACATAAATGACAGCTGTCCTGTCCGTTTGGAGTAAATATTTCAATGTGATATTGTAGAAGTAACATTTTGTTTGGTAACACTGTACAAGTGTCACTCCAATTTGACGAATGGGCCAAGACCGCATGATCACGTTATAAACGGGATTCCGAGATTAGCTGAATATTGACAACGTCTTTATAGTATAACCAGTCTTTATTTATATCAAGGTTTACGACATCGGCAAACTCACAGCTGGTCCTTTAAGTTGAAATTGGGCTGTTAATGAGCTTTAATTCTTTCGACTCCCGCTCACAACACTCGGGAGCAAACCCACACCAGGGAATTTTCATTAAAGACCGGGAACTTATCCGACGATTTGGTCACTCCCGTCAACTTTTGGAGACATTCCACCATTCGCGGGATTTCATTTACGGTGTGATCCTGAGATCTTGTGATACCTATACCTATACCTATCAAAGTGGAGTGACACTGGTACAATATTACCCCGCGAGTCTCGAAATGCCCTTAATGAAATTAATTGAAAATTAAATAATTATTTCTGCTACTACGTACAATTATTTAAGTCTCCTACGTACAATGACAGAGTTAAAAAATTATAGACATTAGTCTACCATGAAGAAATAGTAGAAACAGTGTACGTAATTAAGATAAATCTGTAAAAATGCACGATCCCACCCATTGTGTAGCCTATACTCAAAAATTGCAAGGTTTGAGATGAAAGTGTTAAGAATTATTATAATAACAGAATACTGTGTGTGGAAAAATACTAAGATCTACGAGGTATGGTCCTCTCTACCGTGACAGAGGATCTGAGCCTGTCAGAAATGACATGCAGACGAGTTATTGACGGACGGGACTAGGAAAAGAATATTGGGGGCTGGATTGGAAAAACGAAATCGCGTTAATTTGAACTACAAGCGAATTTTAATTATAAAGAGCGCATATAAGATTAAGGCCGAGATCATGTGTTCTGGGATACTCGCAAGGTACAGGTCACCTGTGCAGGAAAACAGGAGTTCATTTGCCAGCCGCTGCAGGTCAAATTCATGCACAGATTTCTATCTACCTGAGAATAATCGAAAGTTAGTATTATCTTCCTGGGTAGGCGTGTAGACATGTGATCATGTGTGTGGGTCACTCCGGCACACCTGTACAGTTTTTAGGCTAGTTACTACAGTTTATAGTCGACTAAACAGATTTCGTCGTCTTCTTGATTGCTAGCAATGTCTTGATTGAATTAAACTCTTGTGGTTTACCATAGCATGTGTGACTTCCAGCCTGCACAGGTTTACCTTTCCGGTTTATCTGTGCGAATTTACCTGACAGGTATTTTGTAACGTACACAGCACGAGTTTCTGACCTGACTGCTTCTGCACCTGTGTACTCGCTTGACAGTAGCCCAACTCACCTTGCCCACGACAGTGCATTTTTTGTTTTGATGAAATTGGTTTTTGTTTTTGTGTTGAAGTGGTTGTGAAAACCAAAATATGATGGATAGATGAAGTGAAAACCACTCTCTTCACTGCTTTATATTCTTGGGGACCTTCATTACATATTTATTTAAAATACTGTATCTATTGCTGCTTTCCTTCGCATCCAATTCCTGACCCAAATTAATTTGTTTTAATTTCTTATTTTTTCTAGCACTTTCAGCTCGAAGTATTTTAGCACATAGTATTTTTGAATTCGCGTTTATAACAGTGGATCTGATGTGTACTTTGTGGCAACATTTTACACACGCAGAATAGCACAGAGCACATGTCTGCACATGTCAACTACTGTCATGAGATTACAAAGGTGCAGTAGCTATCCACTCTCAGGATAGTAACTTGCACTGTGTAACCAGTCCCTAGTGAATTTTTTAAGTATCTATGTACTTGGAAATTCGAAATTAAATTTCCCAAATTTCTGTGGTGCTATTGGTGAGAAACACATAAAAATTGAAGTACCACCAAATTATGGTAGTAAATACTACCACCTAGGGGCTGGTTACACAGCGCGAGCTACAGGCATGAAAGTAGATAATTATTGCTGTGTTCTTGAGCAATGTTGCCTCAAAGTACACGTCTGATATAAAAGCTATTTGAAAAATACTTATACTGAAATACTTCCGAGCTGAAAGTGCTGGAAAAAGGAAGAAGAAAAACAGAAAGATTTTTGTCAAGAATTGGATGCAAAGAAAAGGAGCAACCAATACTATATTTAAAGAAATATATAATAAAGATCTCCGAGAATATAAAGCAGTGATAAGAATGACACCTCAACAAGTGATAAATTAGATTATTTATTAATACAAATGTATATGTATGTGTTCATATTTACATTTTTTTTTACTATATTGTTAAAATTAAATTCATAATAGAAGATAGAAAAATATGAGGAAAGTAAATTATTCTGTGTCAAGCGAAAATCGAATTGAAAATTACAAAAGGAAGAAGTAAATGCAAGAGAGAAATATTCTTGGAATAGAACATGCCTAAAGTATAAGATAATAAAAAGCTACCTTCTTAGAATAAACAGTTTTGTTAGTAAGTGATTTATTGTTATTGTTTTGATTTGAATTCTCACTCATTTTAGTGATATTTCTAGTTGGAAAATTTATAGAATCTGAACAGACATTGAGAGTAAGTTGATTCCAGAGTAGGTGATCGCAGTGTTGAAATATAGAACCGTTATTTATAAGTGACAAACTTAATATTTCTGGTCCTAACATTTACATTTAAAATAAAGAAACCTACTGATTGCTTTAATTATTTTCGTGAAAAGATAAATATTAGGATCAGGAACATTAAATTATTCACTTATAAATACGGCTCAATTTTTATAACAAAGACCTGAGAGAAAAAATACAGTGTCATAACCATTTTACATGATTTTTTTTAAATTTATAATTAAAAAGTGTATTTTGATAATTATGTTTCTTATAATACATCCCAGATAATGGAAAACAAGAAATAAATGTTTTGCAACAGTTAATTGTAGTAATTTTTGCTGAAAACACGAATACTTTTAGGTGACTTTTTTTTACAGAACATCAGGTGAATTTCAAGTTTTTCCAAATAAAATATGTGCTTAAAATTTATTAAACGAGGACATTTTTTCTAAAAGTGGAGTATTATCTTTGGTATAGTCGGAATATGATAAAAAAAAAATCGGTAATAATTTTAGATTTTTTTAAAAACATTTAGTTTATTTTCTCAAAAGTTATATTTAAATAGTTTAATCAACAAAAACTCTTTAGTTTAAAGTGATTTTTTTTTCTATTTCACAGTGGAGCCATTGTTAATTACATAAATTAAATATTTCATTAGTTATCGCTTCCTATTCAATAAAAAACATCACTTACTTAAAAAAAAACACAAAATTTGGTTTTCTTTTTTTCTGCAGAAAATTGGCCCATTATTTATATGAACTTTTTTGTAGCTCTTGAGGTCTGCAATCATTCCTATAAAAAATTCCTCTCTACTTACCACATCTTCTCTCCCCTCCCCTGTATAGTGTAGATTATTTATTAACACAAAATATTTAATACGCTTTTTAATCTGCCGAAATGTAAGAATTAATAAGAAAAAAAGAGAAAAAGAATAAGGAAATATCTTACCTCGTGTAAGTGGGTAACACTCTTGAAGACTTCTTCTACTTTTGCCTCGGTTTCACCATTTTCTTCTGCCTGTGAATTTTCTAACTGTAACTGATTTTGAACATTTTCCAATTTCATATTGTAATCCTTTTACTTAGATCGCTGATTTTATCGTAAACGGTCAATAAGGTTTATTGCAAATCAACCTCACACAACTTTCTAAACCTTTGTTTAAACTAATTTATAAGAATCATCCATTGATTCTGACGGCCAAGCATTCATTAAATGTTTTAAGTTTAGATATTATTTAACTACCTAGGTTTACTAGGATCGATAATTTCTAAATTTATATTTTCATAAATACATGCTGCATAATTAAATCATATGTTATCATGAGTGGATAATTATTTGGTAAATAATCAATACAATAATATCTAGTTATCGTAAAATATCGTTTGAACTTATAAAAAAAGTACAATCTATAGATATTGTAATATTACTTTTCGTTTATTAAAGGAATATAACGCTTTATGTTGTACTAGTAGGCCCAAATAATAAATAATAAGAAAATAAAAGAAATCAATTGATACTTTCACGCTAAATATAATCGACAAAGGAAACAAAAAATAACTTCAAATTCCTTTAATGTTTGAACCACCATGTTTAAAAATTTCAATAAGCTGTATATTTGCTAATAATTGTCCGATTTCCGATAATATTCCGATAGTCGAATTGGAAAATTTTTTTATCGATGTCGATGATTTTTTTTTCCTTTTGTAAGGAATTTAGTAATCTTTTATATAATCATGGACCTAACCAAGATGAAACTGTGTAATTTTTGAGTCATTCGCAAATAAAATTTCTTTTCTTTCATAACTTTTTTGCTTCAATTTTCTGGGTGATTGGACTATTTTCCCCGCCTTATGGAGAAGGAAACCTTCAAAATTGGTGACTTGATCTTGTGGATTTGATGAAGAATTAACGATGATATAGCTTACCGACAAAAAAACACCTTTGATAAAAATATAAACCCCTCTCTCGATGATAGGGACCAAGTCGACAAAATGAGAGATGTATTCTACAACAGTGCTACAATTAACGTAAGTTTGTGTGGATTCGAACCCTTTACCTTGCATTATCTAAATGTTGATGTAATCTAAATTTCGAATATAAGTTGGCTGATGACGTATAACAAAAATACTATATGACGAGAAAGTTATTAGTAACTGACTCAGAGATCAGTCGACTTCTTTCTCTTACGGACAAACCCGGAAACATTCGGCACTCCATGAACAAGGATGGTGGTTTCCATATCCACATATCTTCTTATAAATTGTTTAGATTGAGCATAAAAGGGTATTTAAAATGAAAGTTCTATTACTATTAACAAATATGACTAATATGTTTTTACTTCACTAACACCGAGGTATAAAATATAATCGTGACTCACCTGGCCCTTTGGGAAGAATATCTCAAGAATCCGATCTTTGGCCATGTTCGGCGGGAACCCTTGGGAGCACATCACTTCCATAGCCTTCACCACCTCTCCCATCTTATCGTCCGGCTGAATCATAGTTCGGGGCAGGACAATACCCAACGTTTAGAACAAACACATTTTTATTTTACAATTAAAATATTTATCAATAAATATTTAACTAAATAAATTATTAATAAAAAATAAAAGTCAGGTTTAGAACGTGATGGCCGAGCATGTCCAAGCATAAAATTTAACATTCTCGAGTCTAGCGATTCTCGCATCCGGTCTAGACTGGTTGAAATTTATTTCGTGGCGGAACTACGGAATGAATCTCGAACTTTTCCTACTCTGATTAAAATATGTTTTGATGCAACTCTAGAAAAAAACCCTCTCCTAATATGCCATAAAACGTTACATATATGAATAAACCAAACAGGGAGAAAAATTAAATAAATAGTAATGTAAATAAACATGAATTATAAATATATGAAGTGTGAAATGTTAAATTAAATATTTACATACAAAGAAAAGAAGTAAATAAAAACTGTGGTAATAATTTACATGATGCCCGCAGCCTTATCGGGTGGAGTGGGGACGCTTATTCTAGAGGACTGTTTACATTTAGGTTACAGTTATGTTAGGCTATCTTAATCCCCACCACTTTTTGCTCCATAGGCACCTCAAAACTGTTAATTTTTCATATTTTATTAGCAGTATTTTAGGCATCATGTAAACTATTACTAAAACTGTACATACATATAAATAAAATAGAGAGAACAAATAAACAAATCAGTAATGTAAATAAACAAAGGTTATAAATGTCTGAAGTGCGAAATGCTCGTGGAATACTAGCGTCCGAAAATAAACAAAATAATTCAGCGAAAAATGCAACGCGATTTCAAAAATTCGAAGATTTCCAATAACAAACCCTGAATTCGACGATCCACCTAATCGTCTAGGAAATCTGAATGGAAAGTTCTCTGAATGAATCTGAAAAATGGAAGTTCCTTTGTTTTATTTACTTTCCGGATTACTCTTCCATGAGCATTTCGCACCTCGGACCTTTATATCCTACGTTTATTTACATTACTATTTTGTAATATTTTTTTCTCTGTTGGTTGTATTTATATATACGTACAGTTTTTTTTTCTCTCTTGTACTTTATTTTTAATTACCTATTATTCTGTAAATATTTAATTTAATGTATGGCCATACTGTCATGTTTGATTTATTTCGTATTTGTAATTTGTTCTACAGTGTCATCAGTCCCAGGTACTAGCGGGTCCAATGTTTAATTTTTTTTTGGGGGGGGGGAGGGGGCTTCAGCCCGAAAGCTCCCCTTCCTCTCCCCGTAGATCCGCCTGCTGTCCCAGGATAATAAAATTGCATTTCATTTACATTTTATAAACACATAATATAATCTAATATGTAAAATAAAAAATAAACCTTTTTCTGTCTAATGTAAACTTCCTTCCTATTTATAAGATTCATGACTGTTGAACCAGAACTTTTAATTTCAATCAGTTAATAAAAAAAAAAAAAATGTTCTTGTCGGAATAACCATAAGGTTTGAGAATGACTGATACCGTTTTCTTTTATCAATGAAAAGATCTTTTTTATTTTAAAGAAAAAAATATAAGAGAGAATGAGTTGATCGGGGAGGGGGGGGGTGCGGTCAAATAGATACTTAATTATTGGCCAGTCTATCAACTTCCTCCTGCAGTGCCACATGCCACGCCCTGATGAAGACCTGCAAGGTGGGTCAAAACGTCGGCGTAATAATTAAGAATACTATTTTTTATAATTTAGTATTAATTTGACAACACCCTCCTCCCCCCCCCCCGATCAACCCATTCTCATATTATATAACGGTCAACCATTTCTACATCATTATGAAAAAAACACAAAATGAATCAATCGAAGAATCGACCATACGAATCGATTCATCGCAACGATTGAATCGTTGAGAATCTATTCAGTTAAAATAATCGAATTTCCCATTCTCTAGTGCGTTGCCCGGCAACCTGATGGAAGGTAATTTCATAAAATAATTAATAGTTCGCATCCTTGTGTTGTGGAACGAAGGGGAGGGGAGGAGGGGAGAGTTGAGGCTTTTAACTCTCTGGCATTAACCCTCAACCCTCACCCCTGGCTTGAGAAAATCCCGTATAGCCTAAAAGGCGAAGAACTTTTCATTTGATGATATCTTCGAATTGTTTGTTCTGTCCTTTCTATAAGGAGTTTATATGACTGTATTATCATACCATTCATATCAATCGTTGCATAAGATGGTTTAAATTGTATGTAATAGCAAATATATCCAAACTTTAAACTATTTACGTATTCACATAAGGATGTTGCTATTATTTACATGACATGTAAACGTTATGTGATTCGTTATATGTCAATGTTATTAATGCCTAGGTTATTCTATCACTTCCTAATTTGTAAGATAATAAAATGTAAAATAAACTTACCACCAGCATGTAGTCACCAGTATCTGTAAAAACACATTCGAAATCTACCAAAAAAAAAAAAAAAAAAAATTCAAAAACTTCATTAAAATAATATCTTGCTTCTGATAGTTGCTTATTGAAAAAAATGTATTCTGCGTGACAACTTACATTTTAAAGGCATATTGATCACAACCGGAAATCAGGTTAACTACTGATAATTTTGAATGCATGCATCTTGTGTACACAAGAAATGACCTCCCCAATCACATGTGCCAAAACATATGGATTCGTTTACTTAAATAAAAAAAATTAATTTACTAACAGAATAACAAACTAGACAATCAATCGTGGGGTGGGTTGATTTTTGAATAACGTTTTGAAACAAATTTCGGTTAGTTAATTTTAATAATGAGTTTTTTTAGTGGAAGAGGACAATTTTTTTTAGCTCTCCGATATTCGTCTCTCACGATGTTTTTTTTAAAGACACTATTAAGCATTTGTTTTTTTATTTGGCTCCAAGCAATAAGAAACTTCATGATGATACTAGGAAGTGAACGTTACCACCCATTATGAAACAAAATGGCATACGACCAGAGGTTTCATTCTGTTTTATTTTGGTCCTCTATGAAGATAAACAGAAAATATACAAAAAAGCTATCAGACGAAAAAAAAAAAATCAATATAATTTTTTTTAAGTAGAGACTAATTTTGCACTTTTTTCTGGGTAGTAAATGAGACTGAGGCGGTATGCTCGTGTCTGTAACGCTCATTGGGGTAAAGTCGGCTCGAGTCGACTAATAGATGTGTTTTTGCATTTTGATTAAAATATCGCAGAAACATTATTTCATAAATTTTCAGCCAACGATTAGGTTGAGCCTTTACAGCCGGTAGAAACCACTCTTGAGGAGAATGAATTAAGATGGTTTGGGCACCATAGATTAGGGAGAGAAGAAGAAGACAACGGATCATCTGAGAGGAAGGCGTGCTGGAGGCATTCAGGAAGGGCTGGATTGACTGTTACAGAAGAGGGGCTCTTCGTCCAATCGCTGCAGAGAGCATCCCCACGCTGCGCTGAGAAACTGATTGGAGTATAATGATGATATCTCAGAAACTAAAAATCGGACCTGAATACTGTAAGCAAGGGAAATGTTTAACATTTCGTCATCTTTATAATGAGCTATTATTCCAAAGTATATCTTAACACGATGTCGTGTTAGAGAGGAAAAAAGAGGAGTGTTAGGGCGGAGCGATACGTCATGTTGCTCCTTTTTGATATATCCTCCGCGTTTGATAGTTTATGGTGGCCCTGCGTACTCCAGCAGCTGCAAAAATATGATGCTCCCAGCAACCTATATGCCCTCGTAAGGAGCTATCTTCAGGACAGGCGAGTGAAGATCAAAGGCAGCTATTACGAGGTAGAAGCTTCCGTAGAGAGAGGATGCCCTCAGGGATCAGTACTTGGTCCTGCTCTATGGAAGCTGGTTTTTGATGAGTTGCTGGGAGTGCTTGAAAATGAGCGGTTCTCTGCCACTGCCTATGTTGACGACCTAGCTGCTGTGGTGGCATCCAACAGCAGGGCGGGGATCAAACTAGCAGCAGAGCGATGTGCCAACCTTGTAGCCAGATGGTGTGAGGGAAAGAAAATTCGTATGGTTGCTGAAAAGACGCAAGCCATCCTCTTGAAAGGCACGACTGATAGAGCACACCCCATTAGCATGGATATAGACGGTCAAATAATACACCCAAGTGAGGTGGTAACATATCTTGGTGTAAGGTTAGAAAAAGGCCTAAATATAACACCTCATTTGGATTATCTAGCAACTAAGGTGACCCAAGCCTTGAACGGACTCAGTCGTGTTGGGGGTGCATTCTGGGGCCTCAGATACCCCGCAACGATGACGATTTATAAAGGCGTTGTGCTGGGTATCTTGAGGTATGCATCTCCCTCCTGGTATAGGAACCTCACACAGCCACAGCGAAAAAGGTTGAGGTCGAACCAGAGGATGGCTCTGTTGCGTGTCACTAGAGCATATAGGACAACGTCACATGAAACAGTGCAGGTCCTAGCGGGGGCGGTACCTCTCGACCTCCTCCTGCGAGAAGATGTTACCAAGCATAAATTCAAGAAAGAAGGCTTGGCTGGAGTTCCAGAAAATCTATGGGTGAGGATTGTGGAAAGTCCCAACAAATGGAAGAAGATAATCCGGGAGGATACGATTGAGGAATGGAGCCGTCGGTTGGTTGCTACCCCGAAAGGGAGTACTCTCAGAAAATACTTCCCCACCGTACAGTCGCGGTTAGATGCACAATGGATCCTCCCGGACTATTGGATTTCACAGTTCCTCACGGGGCATGGGGGTTTTCGAGCTAAGCTACATGGCTTTGGCCAGGACATAGATCCCCAATTTCCCACTTGTGGAGTTCTGGAGACTGTCGAGCACGTGGTCACGGCCTGCACTGCATTTGAAGGAATAAGAGCAAGGATGATGAGAACCGCAGGAATTTACGTCCTAACAGAGGATGAACTTCCTCAGTTGGTAAGTAAGGAGAACTTCCCTCGGTTCAAGAAATTCATTTATGACTGGAAGGAGGCAGTGGGTCCAGCCCACTTCAACATCGGAGCACGGAGAAGAGGACCACCACCAAGAAGACCGCCGGAAGACGGACACCCTTGATAAGACGTCACCAAAGACAATATATTTTAAACTGTTTCACTTGCAGTAGTATGCTGTTATGCAGTCACGCTGAAGAAGGATTGGAGTGCCAGCGGTTCGTCCATATCTACGACCGTCACCTGCTTGCGACCACGTAAAGGTGTTCAATTTTTATTGTTTTGTTTTCGTTTAGTTTTGTATAATTTCTACATTTGGGTAAATATATATTTGTTAATTTTTCCATAATCAAACATCCAACTATTTTATTAGATATTTCATAATTATTATTAACATTGTATTCAGCTTATCATTATTTTCATTTTAGAAGTTATTAATTTATTTTATCTATTGATTTTATTTTTATATTTGGGTTTTATACAACTTAAAGAGTCATATTCCCAATACCCAAAAGCCACTGCTCCCTGTCCATCCAATCGCCCTCACGAAGCCCTCTGGCTGCCATGCTTTCCTCCACGTCCTCTATCCATTTCTTCTTTGGCCTTCCACGCTTCCTTCTTTCAGGTGGCATATAGGTATAAATTTTCTTTGGCCAGCGGTTCTCATCCATCCGCATTAAGTGGCCATACCACTTTAACCGTTTGGTCCCGATCAGCTGAAGGATGTTCTTTTGACATCCGACCTTGTCTCTAATAGCTGCGTTTGGGATCCGCTCGATTCTAGAAATGCCACAGCTTCTTCTTTAGAAATCTATTTCCATGGAAAGCAACTTATTTTCCATCTTTTTTGTCAGTGTCCAGACTTCTGATCCGTAAGTGGCTACGCTTTCTACAAAGGAATGATATATCTTCTTTTTAGTTTCTAATCTTATTTCTTTACTCCATAAGGTTGAATTTATTGAACTTATTATTCTTTTCCCATTATTTATTTTATTTTATGTTCGATGTAAACCTCACTACCTCCCTTTGAAGATAACCAGTATCCGAGGTACTTGAACTGCTGGCTGACATTTAGCGTCCAGTCATCAATTTCAAGGGGCAAATTTGGAGCGTTGAAAACCATGCACTCTGTTTTACTTTCACTGATCTTCAGACCCCATCTGGAATACGTGTCTAGCAACTTCCTCATCATATAGCTCAGATCATCCGGATCCGATGCGATTATGACTTGATCATCGGCATACTGCAAATTGTAGATTACATCATTAACGATTTGAACACCCATTCCACAGCACGATCTTATCCAATCTTAGGGACTTGTTCTATATAAATGTTGAAAATGAGGAGTGAAAAGCAGCAACCCTGTTTCAATCCTTTGTTAATGAAGAAGCTTCTAGACACTCTATCTCCTATTTTTATAGCCCCCGTTATATTTTTATATAGCTCTTCAATTGCTCTGATGAGGTATCTCTTAATAGATGTGGCTTTCAAAGCTTTCCACAATTGCGCTAGAGGTACTGAATCGTAGGCTTTGTGTAAATCTACAAATATCATGTGGAGCTCACGGTCGTGGGCCATCTTCTTTTCTATAAGTTGTGAGAGACTAAAAATGTGTTCAGTGCATGATCTTCCAGGTCGAAAACCCGCCTGTTCCTCGCTGATCTCTTCCTCTAAGTCATTTTCAATTCTGCTTTTAATTTTTCCGGCATAATCTACTCAGCGAGCTGGTAATAGTAATACCTCTGTAGTTGGAAACGTCTTTCTTTTGGCCTTTTTTGAAAACTGGAGTGACATAACCCTGTTTCCATTCTTCGGGGATCTCTCCACCATTTAACAGAAGTGGCATACCTTCTGCCAGAGCCATTTTGAGTTCGGTCTGGTCTGCTTTAATTAATTCAATTGGAATAGAACCAGGGCCGGGAGATCTTCTATTTTTCATTCCTTTGATAACTGAATCCAGTTCTATGATTGTGACTGGCGGTATATCTTCCTTATTTAATATTATTTCATCCGATTGGTTCCATGCGAATTCGGGTCGTTCCTCATGAAATAATTCTTCAAAGTAATTCACCCATTGCTGCTCTTTGATCAATGGGAAGTTATCTCCACATCTTTTGGGATTTTTCAATTTTTTTAATGTCCTCCAAACAGCACTAGACTTTTGTCCATCAATGTAAGTGTCCACATACTTGCAGGTTTTCTTCCAATAGATATTTAATGCCTTCCTTCTAATAGCTTTTACTTTTCTACAGGCATTTCTATATTTCCTCATGTCCTTCTCATTTTTAGAGCTCAACCATTTATTGTATAAATATTTTTTCTCTTGAACAGCCACTTCAGCATCCTCATTCCACCGAGGCTTGTTTTTTCCTCTAAACTCTTTCCTTTCCTTTCCGACAGCTTCTAAAGCTGCGTCATGTAGGCACTTTTTATCTATTGATACCAATGTAAAATTGATTTCATTTTATTTTTTATGTTTTCATTATTAGTAGGTGTAAATGTTTCAAAATAAATGTTTCATAATACAGTCCACTTTCTTTTAAATTACAATAAATTTAATTTGAATAATAGTTAGGCTTCATTCGAAGTTGATTTAAACTAAGAGAGAGCTTAACAATTAGTTTTGGCTTCAGTTTTGTCCAGAACTCTGAACTAAACACTGCGAATCAGAGAACTATTTCTACTTTTAGGAATTTCATATTTAAATATTTTGGATAATTATAAAATTAGAGCAATTTTATAATAATATATTTCTATATAAATAACAGCTATATAATGTTTAATCACAATCCGAACCACGAGGTACCGCTCCAAGCCCAGTGAAAGATCTTCTTTACTTTACGCCTGAAAATAAAATTTGTGTTATATATTAGTAATGCTCAATAATTAATATTATTTATATAGTTGAATTAATATATGTTTTTTTAAATGTTTAGAAAGCTATTGTACCAGTATACTCCTGTTAGAATTCTCATAGAAGAGACTATTCAACAAACAAAAATTTAAAGTAACAATTTACGTAATCAGTGATTATCTTGTTCCATGACAAAATTTCTCTCCAGTTTAATAATAGGTAAGCAATAAGACCATGATTTGTAGCTCTCTGAGTAGGAGTATAGAAGTCTATTACTGAGAGCATAGATAATATATCTGAACATTATATTATTTATCAAAAATATCAAAAAGTTTGTTTCTGTATTATCCGAAGTAACCAAAGATTATTTCATCGGTTTCAAAGGTCATCAAATGGAATTTCATAACCTCAAATAATTGAGAACTTTGTTGAATATTCGATTTGTGAAATCATAAAATTTTGCCCTTAGTGTTACTGTACAGAGTGTTCCGTGAATAGAGGGAAATATTCAAAAGGTCGATACTAGGCATGAAGATCTATAAAAAAGATCAAATAAAAAATTTCTCAATTTCAAGTAGGAAATTTAAGATTTAAGTATGTGTTTTTTCTTTAAGTGAGTCGCGTGTTTTGTTGAATAGGAAGCGATAACAAAAAAAAATATATATAAAGAATTAAATATTGGTTCATAGTAAACTAGATAAAATTTATTTCAATCGAAAGTAGAGATTGTCTTTATTAAAACCATTTAAGGAGGATTATAGAGCGGACAAACTCAGCTAAGTTCCGTTTAAAAAAAAAAAGTCATAAATTGTTAGTTTTTTTACCACCGTCCAACTATACTACAGTCACTCCACTTTTAGATAAATTTCCTCGTTTAATAAGATTTAAATCCATATTAATTATGGAGTTTTATTGAGAAAAAAAAATGAGATTCAGATCAAGATTTGCGAAAAAAAATGATGATAATTTTTATCCTGTAAAATAAAAGTATCCCTGTTTTCAGTAATAATGACTACAATTAGCGGTCACAAAGCTTTTATCTCTTGTTTTTCCATGATCTGGGATGTATTTTAATAAACCCGATTGCCTAAACACACTTCTTATTTATAAAAAAAATATTAATTCGAAAAATAATGATTTTTCAAATATTTCTTCCGGTAAATGTGTTATAAACTGTGTTTTTTTTTGTTTTTTTTACCAAGATCTCTGTTATATGAATTTATCTGTATTTGTAAGTGACAAAATAATAACTTATAGTCCTAAAATGTTTAAAATAAAAAAAAACCTGCAGATTGCTTCAAATCATTTTAATAGCATAAATAATAGAATAACTTAATAAATAAAGAATAAAGAATAAAATAAATAGACTAACATTATTTTAATTAAGTTGAAATTCATCTCAAGTTGTGTAAACAAATGATGTGATTTTCTATCACTGTAGTTATAATACTTGGACGTTTGGAAGACAAATTTATCACAAATTCGAGGAAAAAGGTGGCCTTAAAAAATACTGACGGATCCAGAATTTAATTTTGGGGGGGGCTTCAGCCCGAAACCTTTTTTTTTCATAAAAATGACGATATTTACTTTGGAAAAACAGAAAGAAACTAACTACCTATATGAAATGGTGTTTAAGTTATTCCTTAAGTACTTTTAAATGTAGTTACACGAACAATAATACTTTAAGAGGTATTTCTTAAATTTTTTCCCATAAAACACCCAAACGGCCCAATATTTTTGTAGGCCACCATTTTTAATCGATTTTGTGATCAATTTATCTTACGATCCAAATTTAAAGCCAATGTGTATTTACAAGTTTTCAGTACCTAATTAAACAGACAAAGTTTGCCAAGCTCCAGATTGAAAACGACCCAATTCCAAGAGTTATCGTAAAAAAATAGTTGTAGGTTGTGATGAGATGAAACTATTTACGAAGTTTCAGACTGACGTTTATAATTAGATAAAAAGGAGTCTGTAACACGGCCTATTTGTTTTTAGGTGATTATGTTTATTACAATACATTCCATATGACGAAAAAAAACAAACAAATAAAACCTTTGCAGCTGTTAATTGTAGTGCCATAGTTAATCCTTTTTGCTGAAAACACGGATACTTTTAGGTGAAAGGATAGAAAATTAAATCATTTCTTTACACAACTTGAAATGAATCTCAATTTTTTTCTCAATAAACACCAACGTAATTAATATAGACTTAAAGCTTATTAAAGGAAAAAGTTTTTCTAAAATTGGTGTAAAAAAAAAATACAAATAATTCATAACTTTTTTTTTTGTTTTACGATTATAAATGACTTTGAGTTTGTCAGCTCAATAATCCTCTTTAAATGGTTTTAAAATTGACAAACTCTACTACTTCTAAAAGTTCAAAGTAAACTTTGTCAAGTTTACTATGTATCAATGATTAATTCTTTAAATAATTTTTTTTTTCTTATCGCTTCCTATTCAACGTATTTACGTGACTCGCTTAAAAAAAAACGCATATATTAAATTTCCTACCTTTCTGCTGGAAATTGGACAATTGTTTATATGAACTTTTTTGTAGATCTTTATGTCTTCTTGACATTTATCATTTTTTTTAAAAATTGAGAAAAGCCAATAGCTTAAATTTAAATCTATTCTAATGATTTTTTTTTTTGTGAATCAACATCAGAATTTTTAAGTAAAAACATACGAAACAGTTTGAATTGAACTTATGAGACAAAAAATGACTTTTCGCAACTTGCTAAAAATGACAGATGTCCTTATATGATACGAGACCACTTGTATGATAAATAATTGGGTTTGTGTCATTTTTATGCACGTACGGTGTTTTTATAAAGAAGGATACGATTCAATAAATATAAATAAATAATTAATTAAAAATATTTGAAGCCAATCTAAATCATAAATGCACTTACAATTGGTGACTTTTTGCAATAAACCGACAATATAGCTACTCTCTTCCACCTGATTTTTAATTATAATTTTAGTATCATAAATATAAATATATTTTAATTCTTTAAACGTGAACACGTGATAAGTATTCTTTGGCGACTCTAGTGCCTAAGAGGCATTCTGTAAGAATTTCGATTAATCTCGAAAACGGGACAGATAGAGTTGATGTTTTATCTACATAAGAGAAGTCACCAATCTTCATTATGAAGCAAATATTGTTTCAGTTATAGTTAATACTAGATTACCCGTGCGAATATTCCACACAAACCTGATATTTATATCAGATTTTAAAACTTTTAAGAGCTCAGCATAAATTCCATTGAATCAGGGATGCCCATCCTCCGCAACCTGATAAACCGAAGATTTCGAGTTGGAATCCCGGTGTTCGAAGAACTTTTAATTCTGGTATTCACTCCCAGAAAAAAACAAAACAAAAAAAAACCGTCTTTCAAGTAAGGTCAGTATAGCTTCCTCGCTATTTTCATTGAATAAAAAATATGTATATTACAAGGCCTAAAATTTTCCGTATCAGAATAAAATCTCTGGGAGAAACCGTTTTCGGAAATTCAGTAATCCCTTAACATACATTGCTTTGACATGCACAAGTTTTAGTCTTCAGCGAATACTAAACTGCGAAAGAGTTCCGCATTAGCAGATTGCATATTTGATGATTTAAACAAAATTCCAGTGCATACTGAACATGCATATCACTACTGTTAGTGCAATGTGAGGTTTGTAAAAATTGAGTGTTGTATATAAGCAATAAAATTGTGTATAGCGAGCAATACAATTTAATATTTTATTGCCCTCAGCTATTTTCCATCGTAGTAGACTGCTAATATCATTTGCAGACTACAAAATGTCATCTTTAGCACAAAAAACAGTTCCGTATTTGCAGATTCCACATTTGATGATTCGTGATTAAAAAAACAAAACATCCCAGGCCATACTGAACATAGTAATAGGAAAAATTCGAGACCAATATTTTTCTTCAGTCAGAACAAAACTAATTAATCTCTGAATATCAAAATATGCTTGAAATTCACACTTAAGAAGGGAATCGAGAACACGACGAGCTGGTTGAACCTCAATAGAAATAAACACAATCACAAATAAGACATTTTTTTTTACAGAGTAAAAACCAATATAAAATTTTCTTTAAAATTACACGAAATCCAAGTAACAAGTACTACGTACAAGTAATACAGTATAAATTCATTTTTTGAATAAAACCAAAAATGTTATAACCCCATAAAAATATCGTCTTAATCTAACTCGCACTTCATATGATCAATTGCCTTCCACACTTCACAGCCATTATATTATTACAAATTATTTATATAAATTTTAATTATTAAATAGAATTAAATGAAATTGATACTAGACAATTTCTGAACTATTCTCCACATTTCCTCCAAGTTTGGGTCAAATTGAACAACTTGTTTCCAACCTTTTTTTTTTTTGTTTTTTTGAGTAGTGGATAGAATTTGTTAAAACTCATATGTAATTGATTATCTCTTTAGCAATACCTAACTTCTCTTCAAAATTGAGCCAAATCGATAGTGCGGTTTTAGAGATATACACGTAACAAGGAAAACATGTTTGCGCATATATAAGAGAAAGGAGAGGACAGAATTCTATAAAATTGACTCTACATTATTTTTTTACCAATGACTACATTTTATCCAACTTTGTGCCAAATCGAATGAATAGTTTTTGAAATATAGACATTTCTGGAAAAAATTTCGCTTCTGAAGTGCTGGATGGAATTCGATAAAATTAATGTGGAACTATCTACGCACCGACCGGCCCAATCCTCGAAAATTTCATGAAAATCTAATAAACGGTAGAAGGAGATATACTCATTACATTTAATTTACTACAGACAGACAGACGCTGAATCAAATTTGATCCTTTATGTCCGAAACATAAAACGAGAGTGGGAATTTTCGATTCTGAGCACAATTTTTTTTAACATCCCGCACGAATACAATGCTTTCCTAGCTTTCCTATGCTTTGCTAGTGAGGAACCATAAAGTAATTAGCACTTAATATAAATTCTAAGATAGTAAATCATACCATATGAACTTCAATGAAGAAATCACTGTGTCACCAACAAGATCAAATAAGTCCTCGTCATCAGATCTCTCATCGAATATTTCCGTTTTATCCATTATATTCTCATCAGAAATTTTTGTTGACACGCTTTTTTCATCTTCTGTTTCGTAATTACTAAGTGCCTCAAGCTTTCCTTCAGTAGATGTATTTATTATTGATCCTTTTATTGTAGAAGTCTCCTCTCTTACCTCCTTCTCAGAATCAATTCTTTTGACGGCATCCTTTAATATATTACTGTTATTAAGCTTGTCAACAATTGCGAAATCCGTGTCTATTTCGTTTCCAATTATTTCCGGATTCTTTGGATAACTTTCCGAAAGTATAATTGGAAATAACATAAATAACACACCAACGTATAACATCATGGATGACCTACTCACCTGATTGGAAAAAGCATAAGTATTGACAACTATCAGAAAGTTTTTAGTCCGTGAAAGGGCCGTTATATCACAGACAATGCCGATTTAAATGATTTTAATGATAGCAAAGGCATTAAATTATTAATGCGTTTCGTCATCTGTACCTTGACTCGGATTGATGACTAATATCTTTTAAAAACAAATATATTCAGAAGAAAATGACTTTATTATATGTAGAATTAATTACAGGTTCACATACTCCTTCATTAACAATTATAAAATGTTTACATTTTTAAACCCAAGTATAGTAGTACCAGAGCTGAGTCGGAAATTTGTGACTTATTTGACAAAAAATGGGTAGTTTTATTGGAAGATAAAATTTTAAAAATATTTCCTTAAGTTGTTTTCATACGGTAGTGCATTTTTGCAAATATCAAGGAGACAGCTATTGCTGCGAATATAATCATCAGAAACTACAACATTACAGCGCATTCTATCAGCTTTAATTTGAATCTTATTAGAGTTCTTTACGATTGTTCAAGAAATCACTATTGTGGGATTTTATTTTAGTAAATATTATGAGACCTCTTAAAATGGAAGATAATTATTAATAACTCATAGGAATAGCAGTTAGTACAATATCAGCTAAAATAGATTCCCAAAATGGTGTTTTCTTTTTTGGGCGAGTGTATAGCTTCCTTGGTCATCGGATATAAACTTACTCGGAAATTGCAGTAAACTGCTAACATTTTGTCTTTTTATGTTTTCAAAGGTATTGAATTTTAATTCAAGCTATTTAGTCGAAAATATTAATTTATATTTTATCTCTTCAAGAATTTACAACTGTACTAAATCAGTCGTAGTAGCATAAGGTATATGACTGAAAACCTTGCGCAACTCCAAGCCCTCAATGATCATTAGGATCAGGGCCTTCTTTTCGACTCGGGAAGAATTGATGCAGAAGGAATACGAGGGTGAGTGCTAAGTAAGGAAGGATAGTATCTGGGGCAGATCTGATACATGGGTCATTAGGTTTTTGTAATTGAACAAAGTCGGACATTCGGAAGGATGAATTTGGCTTATAGGAGGACGAGGAATCGAGGGTGTATATGTTGAATGTATCATCGGGCAAGGTGTTTCCACTCACCTACATTACACTTTTCAGAAGAATATCTATTATTATCCACTTAAAATAAGTCAAGGATACACCGAAAAGCTTATATTTACTGTCTATCGTTATCGACATAAAGTTCCTTCTTTTTTTTTTTTTTTTTTTTGTATTAACATGGTCATCAGTAGTAGGATGGCTAATAAAAGAACTAGGTCGTTAGGACACCTTCTCCTTTCAAACAATAGCCTCGTAAATCTCGTCAAACACCTCCAATGACACTTGTTAGTTCCGAAGAACATGAAATACAGCCAGGTACATCATCAGAAGAGAAAATTGAAGAACCTCAGCCTCGACCAGGTAAATCATAACAAGAAGCAATTGAAGAATCTCCTTTTATTACACCCAACCCAGAATGACAGAACGACAGTGAGGTAATGGAGTCCGCACCAAGAGACCCCTGACCTCTCCCGATATTCTTTAAGAACATAAAACATTTCCAATTACTATGTTCTCAACTAAACGAAACAGCAGGCTCCGGAAGCTACTCATGTCTAAGCAGAACAAATGACACCAAAATACCGCCGAATACAGCTGAGACCTATAGAAAAATGGTGAAGTATGTAACAGAGACAAAAGTAGATTTTCGCACTATCAATGGCGGCAGGAAGCGTTAAGAATTGCCACAAGAAACTTACACCCCTCAACACCAAAACAATAGAAGAAGAACTGAAAACTTTAGGTTACAAAGTGCGCCAGATAACTAATCTTCTAAAGGAGAGTAAAGAACACCCAGGAGCGAAAGTTTCTCTACTCCTATTGTTTATAGACTTAGAAACTTAGAACTGCCTCCAGAGATCGAAAACATTTACCAAGTAACCAGATAATACTACATAAGTGTAAAAGTAGAGAAGCCGTGTCTTAATAGGAATATCGTCCAGTGCCATAAATGCCAGGAGTACGGCCACATGAGGATGTGTTGCCATCATTTGCCGCGTTGTGTAAAATGCGGTGGTCACAAAACTGGTAAGTGCACAAAACCTAAGCAAGAACCTGCAGCTTGTGCTTTGTACCATGAGGGACCTCTGGCGAACTACAAAGGCTACTAGATATACAAGAGTATTAAATCCAGATACCAGAAATCTCGATAACAAGAAGAAACTGAAAGACCCAGATCAAGAAAAGAAACTTCTAAAACCATAGACCCGACGGTATCTTTTGCACACCTATTAGGAGGTAAGAACGATATTACTTCTTCTAATCCTCATCAATTTTATCAACACCAAATTCCTCACATTCCTCCTCCATCAAATACCACAGATCTCAACAGTTTACTTACATCTTTCTTCTCTGAATTCAGATCCCTTGTTACTCCTTTGATATACCTTCTCACCAATCTCGTATAACATTTTATCTCTCCCCAAAAAATCCTTAAATGACTTTCAATAAACCTATATTGCATTCTCCTTTTGAATGCGAATGGTGGTGTGAATCATACAGTATACAGTAACTATCTGCATCAGTACTTGACAAGAACATTGACGTAGCCAAGCACCAACATTGTGGTTTCAGAACCACGAATTCGCCTGGCCGAACCCTGCTGTCTGCACTTAATTCCCAAAGTTTTCAACTCCTTTCCCTCAACTATCCTACTTACTTGTCCACAGGTCCTAACCGTAATCCTGATATCCTTGATTTCTTTATCCATAGTGGCTTGGGTGCCCTCAATTGTTCCATTACACATGTAAATGAAATTTCTTCTGATCTTATTTCTCTAATTCTTAATGTTTTACTCGAATCCGTTTCCAAACCTTCTCCACCGCCATTTATTCAGTGGCTCAATTAACTGGGATCTTTTCCGCCGAATCATTACCGATAAAATTGATCTCAATATATCCCAAAAAACTCCCAATAACATAGATAAAGCCATCAATCCCTTTACAATCACAATCCAACAGGCTGTCTGGACTGCCTCCTCTCCAAAAGACTCCCCAAATTTCTAGAAAGACCATTCTACTTTAACACCTCCTTGACCTTATCCACATCAAACGCCGTACTAGATTATTATGGCAACGTAATAGATATCCCACCGACCACAGCTCCTATAATTATTACTGTAAACAATTAAAACTGGAATTAGCCACCTTCAGATCATAATACTTTAACTCCTATTTATCTCTGCTCGTGACAATTCCCTTTGGAAAACCACTACAAAAATCCTAAACCCTCACCAAATTTCGCATCCCCTCCGACGAGATGACGGATCCTGGGCAGCATCTGATGAAGATAAAGCCCAGAAGTTCGCCAGACAATTATCCAATACATTTATTTCACATCCGGAATCCCATCCCGCCCACACCGTAACAGTAGAAAAATTCCTTACATCACCTATCCCCCTTTCCTAAAGCAATTTATCCTTCCGAAGTGATTTTCAATTACAAAAACTAATACCCAGCAAATCTCCCGGATATGGTTTTCTTAGCACTCAGATCCTTCGACAACTTCCATCAAAAGCAGCCATGTTCCTTACATATACCTACAATTGCATTCTATGTACTTTCCGTTTACTACCCACTACGTACTACCTCACTTTTATGGAAACACTCCACTATTATCCTTTTCCCAAAACCAGCAAACCCCCCAACAGCTTGACATCCTATAGACCAATTAGTCTTCTCCCAATTCTTTCAAAAATCTTTTAAATAATCCTATTGAAACGAATCCTACCCTTCATAGAATTCCAAAATCTTTCTTCCCATCAGTTTTTTGCCGCTCATGACACTTCACTGTTGAACAAGTACTCCGAGTCGTTGATCATATTTCAGCAGCCCTAGAAAACAAGCAATATTGTTCTTGTGCATTTCTGGACATAGCCCTGGCTTTTGACCGGGTATGGCACCCGGGGATGCTCTTCAAGCTTAATATCCATCTCCCTCAGTCCTTATACGTAATCATTCAATTCTATTCTTTCCGACCGCTCCTTTCGAGTACGCTGTGGAACAGGCTCTTCCAATATTTATCATATTAAAGCCGATGTTCCCCAGCACAGCGTCTTCGGTCCTGTGTTTTACATCCTCTTTACTGCTGACATGCGTGCAGGTTCTGATCCCTTCCTTGCTACATTTGCTGATGACACTGCAATCCTATCATCCAACTCAGATTCCGAAATGGCATCCTTAAATCTATAAAGGCACCTCCCCCTGATTGAACACTGCTGCAATAAATGGCGCATTGAAGTGAATCAATCCAAATGCCAATTACCTTTACACTCCAACACAATTCCTGTCCACTAGTACACTTTAACTCCATTCAGCTTCCTTTCTTTGATACAGTCCGGTATCTTGGCTTTCTTTTGGACCGAAGACTAACATGGAACCCACATACTAGACATAAAAAATAAGAAATTAACCGACGATACGGCCAACTATACAGATTACTAAACAGAAAATCTAAACTTTTATTGAAAAAAAATTACTTATCTGCAAAACAATCCTGAAACTTATGTGACCATACGGACTTGAACTGTGGAGGAAACAATCAAACGCATTAAGAGTTTTTACAGATATTTTGAAAAAAATATTTTTAGATCTTAATAACAGAGATATTATTGATTTTTTCTTTGAAATGTCATTGTTATGGACTAATGAGTATAAAAAAAAATCAAATTTGGTACAGTCTTACAGTTCTTGGGTTTTATTGTTACAAATATGAAAAAATCGAAGTATGATTTAAATATAAACGAATAAATATAGTTCCACTAAGCTACACGCTGGGACTTATTCCATTCGATAGTAGGTATCAAAACGTAAATTCTGTAAAAGCGTAATTGCTTGCATATATTTTCTTATTTAAGGATTAGTATCCATTATATGGCTAAACGATTGTAGATAGATGAACAGAATATTTCAAGATGCTGCTAAAAGGAGGTCAAATGCTGGAGCAGTTTTGATGACATTAAGGGGACAATGCAGGTTTATTATGGTGAGGACCATTTTATCAGCTAGAAAGATTTGTTCGAAGCAATTGGCAAGTAAGCTGGTCTGGACGAAGTAAATCGAACAGCTTTGCACTGTTTTGCTCGTAAATATACAAAAAATGTATTAGAAAATTATGTTAAAGGACTAGTTTTGTTCCTTTACAAGATAGGAGATATTAGGAAATGTAATTCTCATCGAAATTCATTCCTATTTAGTGTACAAAAGAAACTTTACTCAAGAATCGTAGAAACTAGAATAAGAAATATTGTCGATTGCCAGAGCGATATGGATTGAGAAACTCAAGTTACACATGGGACGGAAGTTGCAAATTGGAACTATCTTCACTTTAAGGCAGGTTAGAATGAAGTCCATCAAGAAAGAAAAATAGCTCTCTATCTGCTTAGTGCCTCACTCTTTGGATTGTGCTAATATTTACTATTTAGTATATATTTACTACGCTATATACTAGTTGTTTTTTTTTTCTTGTTCTTCTCTACCTCGCCTTTTAGGCTATACGGGATTTTCACGGGCCGGGGGGTGAGGGCGGGGAATTTAAAATCCCCTCCGGCACCGGGACGCGAACTCGTACTTTTTAAATCTTCTCAAATCTGTAATCAGGTTGCCAGGCAACTTGCGGTGCTGTGCACACGCTATAGTCCATTCGGCCACCCCGCCCCTGCTATATACGAGTCTTTCAGAAAAGCTCGTTTTCCTTTCAGATTCCTTTAAAAAATCGTTCGCAATGACCATGCCCTAAACAGAATGAGAGCTATTTCCCTTTCTCAATAGACCTCTCTATAACCTGCTTCACAATGAAGATAGTACCAATGTGCAACTTCAGTAGCAATTGAAAATAAAGTTATTTTCACCATAACAAACCTCGTTTTCTTAGTCCAGACCTGCTGTCTTGCCAATTGCTTCGAACAAATCTTCCTTCCTGGTAAAATGGTCTTCATCATCGTCCCCTTAATGACATCAAAATTACTCCAGCATTTGACCCCTTTTAGGATCATCCTGAAATATTCTGTTCATCTGTCTACTATATATTCGTTTAGCCATATAATGGATACTGATCCTTGTTTTCTTTTTCGAATTTTGGCACTTCCTTTCTCGTTCGCTTAATGTACTTTTCCAATTTTTGGTTTCAATTTCGTGTTTTTCCTCATTTTGAGACCAAATACTAACAATCAGTTCGGGTTACCTAGAAGAACTATAGCTTCGCCCTTTCCATCTTTCAGAGAATAATGCATTCAATAATAAAATTTCTTAACTTTTTATGGTATGGTCCAACTTCTGAACAAATAAAGGAAATTAAAATTAATTTTTTTATAAGTGATACATGAGTTTTATTAAACAACCGATCAACTATTCATTGTATGTAGTTCAGATTTGGTATATATTATTTTAGTTTATAAAAAAAGGTATTAATATGACTCATTTTCGGGGAAGTATATACAATTGAAATTACCTCTAAGAGTTATTAAATATAAAAAACATAGTGTTAAATTGCAAACGTTGAATAAAAAATTCAACGTATTCCGCAAAGTATTTTTGAATTAAGTTTTATTATTATAATTATATCATTATTACAATAGAGGTCTTCTTAAACTACATCCGTATAGAATAAAGGAAATTAAATTTTAAAAAATAACTAATACATTTTTTTAAAAATTGTTTAATTTTTTTTACAATTTATTATCTGAATTTGCCTCTGCCCGATAGGGTCATTGGCAATTCTTTCTTCACTCCAGTTTCCTATATTCTATTGTAGAATCCATTTTTACAATTAAAATATTGCATTAATATTTTTTCGCTAATAAAATCAATATAATGTACTAAAACGTTATAATAGCACTATAACTAATCCATTTATGAACACTGAACGGTGTGGTAGAGGCCTGTAGGCACTCACGACAGTACCGCTTTCTGCCGCGTAAGTGCATTTTCTACGGAACTGCTTCAGATATTTTAAAAAGTAATCAGTGTTTTAGAAATAAAAATATATTCTCCAGATGTTTTATTTCAGCATGTTTTGCGTTATTGTAGGCCATTTAATTACAAACGACGCTTGATTTTCAACTTGAAAATTTTTTTTGTTAAAAAAATTGACTTTACTTGTGTTTTTTATTGCCTAAACCAATTATTTTTTAATATTTCTTCATGTTTTATTATTCTATGACTATCCAGCTTTAATAAAAGACCAACTATGATGAAATTAAGCCAAATGCTGATTCTCCGTGACCAAAAAACTAACTAAAGTCAAAGTCGTCAATCCGCCATCTTTGGACGCCATTTTGGGGCAGTGTGTTCACTTTTTTTGTGGGAACATTGCCTTTTTTTTAATAAATAGTTACAAGGAACACAACGATATATAATTTATAGGGATGGGGGGGAGGGTGGAGTGAACGGTAAGGGGGATCTGGCCCACAGACTAAGGGTTTGTATTGGGATAGCCCCTAGGGCCGCTACAAACCCTAGACCAGTATAGACAGGGTGTCTGATTCCCTTTAGGGTTTGTAAATCCGCATTTCTTCCTTAATATTAGACAACGGTCAACGACATAAAGTTTCCAACTTTATTTCTAATTTATACGAATCTCACATTGAACTATAAAACTGGATTTTTCAATGAGATAATCTAATCACCTATTAAACAAATGTTGCTTTCAATTTTATTGTATTGCACAGATTAATTTTATGATATAATATTGTATATATTAAAAATAACTATATATTCGTATTAATTACTTGAATTAAGTATAAGTACTAAGTATTCATAGATGTCTATATCTCTTACGATCTACTAAGAAAATTTCTTGAAGCATACATGCAAAAATATTCACTTAGGATGGGTAGAGATATTTTAGTAGTCGTTTTTTATAAATTTATTTATTTATTTTATTTGAAACATCTATGGACTTAATAATTGATTTCTCTTACAGTGATAATTTTTTATTGTTGATAACAGCTAGCTGGAGTCTTCAAATATAGCTATAACCTCCCCAAGCCCAACGAAAGCCATTCTTTATTTTTGACCTGTAAACAAAAATTATTCGGTATTAGAAATGTTATATATTTAATCACATCAGTTGTTAGTTGATATAATATACCATTTATAAATATATTCAAAGCCATTTTTAATGAGCCATGCTTTATAATTATGGCAACACTGAAGACACCCCACCGATTCTCTCTCCTATAATTATTACAGTATACATATAATTAAAACAGGAATTTGCTACCTCCAAATCCCAATCCTTCAAATCCCACCATACTTTCCTCTCTGTTCATGGCAATTCTCTGTGGAAGATCACCAACAAAATACTAAAATCCCATCATACTTTCTCCCTCCGCCGATGCGATGGCTCCTGGGCAGCGTCTGATGAGTACAAAGCTGAGGAATTCGCCAGACACCTCTCCAGAACATTCACCTTACTTCCGGAATCTAACTACACCCATACCACAACAGCGGAAGAATTCCTTACATGACCCATTCCACTTCCCTTGTCCCCTAAAGCAGTTGATCCTTCTGAGGTCAAACATCGCCTTTAAAAACTTCCTTTCCGTAAATCTCCTGGATACGACCTACTTACCTCTCAAATCTTCCGACAACTTCCTCCTAAAGCTGTTATATTTCTCATATATTATACAATACCATCCTAAGAATCACTCACTTTCCTCTTTTGTGGAAACATTCCACTATTATCCTATTTCCAAAACCAGGCAAACCCCCAACACTTCAACTTCCTACAGACCAATTAGCCTACTTTCAATCCTCTCAAAAATCTTTGAAAAGATCCTCCTGAAACGAATCCTACCTATGATTGAATGCTATAACCTTCCTACCTATCAATTCGGATTCTGTTCCCAACATTCCACTGTCATGGGATAAATGGCGCATCAAAGTAAACGAATCCAAATGCAAACACATTACCTTCACACTCCGGCGCAGATCCTGTCCATCAGTCCACTTTAATTCCATCCAGCTTCCTTTTCCAGACACACTCCGGTATCTTGGTTTTCTGTTAGACCGAAGACTAACGTGGAACACACACTAGACTTAAAAGACAAGAACTTAACAGACGATGCGGCGAATTATATAGACTACTGAATAGAAAATCTCAACAAATTACTGATATTCAAGACAAATCTGAAACCTATTTGGACCTACGGATTTGAACTTTGGGGAACAGCTAAATTTTCAAACATCAAACGCATCCAATCCTTTCAGTCCAAAGTCCACCGATCAATAGTTTATTCTCCATTCTATGTAACCAGCAAAACCTACATCATGACCTTAATATTACATTTTTCCTAGACTTTATTCCTAAAGAAATGTCCGAAATCCAATAGAATCTTACAAATCATCCAAACCCTCTTGCACAATCCCTATCTAGTTCCACTCATCCCTACTATCCTCCTCGAAGGTTGAAGCTGCAGTGGTCCAGAGATCTTTTTTTAGTATATATCTTGGAGTTCTGACAATGGCCAGATTCTTCACTCAAGACATGGGCGTATGTGGCCAAAGCGCTCTAGCTCAATTGGCTTTAGCACCAGTGACGCGGTTGAGAGAGTAGCCCAGGGATCTCTTGGAGTCCTGTTTTCCTTCTATAATTGGAGGGTCAAGTTAATGACCTGGCTTGGGGTTCCCTACCTGATTGTATATAAAAAATATGACTGAGTTTTTATGTTTTTAATTTACGTATATTTAGGTTATTTTATTTTTTATTGTACATAGTTGTGTGATTGTTATTATTATACTTTTGTTAATTTTATGTTTTATGTATATATGGTGTGAACGTGTTCATATCTCACTATAATGTTTGTCCACGTGACAGATTATTATATTTCTAAATAAAAAGAATAAAAATGTTTTATATTTAAGAAAAGTTGGTTGGTGATTGCTATTTGTACTTTAAAATTACAAAAATATATATTTTTTTTTTCCTACGCTTGACTTTGACTTTTTAAGTCATGAGTCATCTTCAGCAGCTTTATGCTATAATAGGTTACAGTAGTGATCGTTCTGTTCTCTTAAAAAAATATATTTATTTTCTTTGTGCTAACGTTTCAGCCCAAGTTTCAGGCATTCATTAGGGCTAGGCAAAGCCCAGATAACAAATAAATACTTAGAAAATAATTACATATGGGTATATGTAAAATAATCAAACTGATCGTACCAGGGTTCAGTATATCAGAATATCACAGACCTAAATATATCTATCATTAAAATTTTCATTTACATTCAGAGATAATAACATAGAAACATATCTCATGGATTTTATGATTTTAGGATTTTATATCGACACCTCCATTTTCACAATACTCCATTTGAAGAAAAAATTTAGAAATAATTTTTATATATATTTTTCATCAGACATGGTTATTTTACAATTTAGAGTGGAGCTTCAGACAAATGACCAAAGAACGTATAAAGATGAAGAGCTGAAGGAGTAAGGGCTCTAAGAAGAGGATGACTATATCGAAGATGAACTACAGGAAGCGCCGATGAACATGAAGCTGGGGAATCCGCAGGTAAAGATGAAATATTCCTCCAAAATAGTGAAATAAATGAGGCCCAAAGGGAAAGAGGCTAGCTTAACTTTTAAATATAGCTAGAAAAAAAAAACGACTGCCAATTAAGGTCAGTATAGCTTCCTCACTGTTTTCAATGGATAAACAATATCTATATTTCAAGGTTTATAGTTTTTCATATGAGAATAAAATATTCGGAAGAAGTTTTTTTCGGAAAAAACAATTATCTCTCAACATTCGCGGGTTTGTTATCCACATACAAACATTTTGTTAACCAGCGAATATTAAAATGAGGAAGAGTTCCGCATTTTCAAATTGCGAATTTGATGATTCGTGATTAAATGAAAAAAATTCCAGTACATACTGAGTATGTATATCGCTACTATTAGTGAAAAAGGTCGTATGTAAATATCGATTGTTTTACGGAAGAGTATAAAAACTAATTATTCCTATACTCTATCACTCCAATTAATAAATTATATTGATAGGATGTGTGTTTATGTATATATATATATATATATATATTTGTGTGTGTGTTTTGCGAGTGTGCGTATGTATGTTTATAAATTATATTTTATTTTTCTTGCACTTTTAATGATTGTGATCTAACTTTCATTTATATCTTATGTAGGTTTTTTATTAGGTTTTTCCTACTGTAAAAATGGATTTCAATTCTCTTAATAGCATTTAAACCACTAGTATATCAAGTGTAAGTTTACTGCAACCGCAAACATGTAATTTATCATTATGACATGATGTAATATACAAAAAAAATCTGGCGCGCGCAACACACAACTTTCACTTACCGCTCTATTTTGAATAAAAAATACTTTCTGGCAATGCTGGGCTATTATAACATTTTTGGTTGCATTTTAAACGAAGCTAAAGCTTAACGCTTACAGATAACAAATCATTAAGACCATTATAATTATAAAAAGTCTATTTATCATATCGGCGATAGACAATAAAAATCTAATCACTCCATCTGCTTTTATAAACCACACAACTACAGTCTCTAAGCCTTTCAGTTGACAGAATGACTAACTGCAATTTCAACATTTTAGTGACATTTTTAGTTGGAAAAGTTATCTATTCAGAGAGCGAGTAAGTTGATTACAGAGGAAGTAATCGCATTGTTGAAATATAAAACTGTGAACAAAGGTATAAATTTTGTAACTATAAACATCACTAAAATTAATAATAAAGAATGCTGAAATGTCAGCATTCTGTCAACCGAAATAAGGCTCATATCTGCCTACAGAGGTTTGAAAGTATATCTGAATATTTAGCCCATAAATGATGATCGTAGGACTATTAGTAGTGTTTCCCAAAATCGTTCTTGGTATTGCACGTTGCAAGACCAAGACCAACACCGCCTATCTGTAGCAAGATCAAGACCAAGACTGGTAAAAAAAATCGATTTTTGAATAAAAAGTTGAGGAAAAGAATTACTAATACTTGACAATTTTAGTTACTATATGTAAAGAATTGGTGTAACCAAATATACTTTTGCATTTAACTCTTCAATTTTTCATTCAGACTTAGTTAGGTTCCCATATCTAAATAAATATAGTAATATCTCTCTAGTAATAAGCTAATAGGTAACTGCAAGATTGTTACGAGAATCTTGCGTAATACCAAGACCTAGACCAAGAATGAGTTTACAAGACCAAGACTCGTCTCGGTCTCGCGTTTGGGCAACACTAACTATTAGTTATTAAGCTATTATTTTCCATTGTAAAGTTTACTAAAACAAAATTAGGAGATTGTCATTGCCTTGCCATGGATAGATCAAAAATTGTCTCACTGATTGTAAATGGATAATGATGGGATTTCACAAAGAGAAAATTCATCAAATTATTCACTTATCTAATTTTCTAAAAGGTTACTTAATGATTTTTTGTAATAAACGGCTGATAGATACCTTATTTAACTTAATTAGGATTGATGGCTTATTTAAATATAATATCTTATCTAAAATTAATACTCTATAGTAAATATATTTGATGTTATAAACATATCCATTAAATATTTTTATATTTCACTTCTTCTTTCACACAAGTAAAATGAAATAGTATTTTAAACAATGGCATTGGCTTGATTCGATGGATTTTATATACTTTAAATCAATCTTAGAAAAACATTTAAAAGTTTACTAATAGTAAGAAAATTACATTTAATTTTCTTGAAAAGATGTGATTTACGTTAAATAATACTAGTTTTAAAAAGTTATTATTTATAATTTTTTCGTAACTCTCCGTTACCTTTTACAACTTTCTATGTGAGATATTGTTTTTTCTAAAATTCTCTGCTTTTCAACGGTATATTATACGTATACGTTCTGACTAGTATTTCCGGAGACCTGGATAAGCATTTTTGTTTTTTTCTCCTTTATTCAAGTATCAAATTCTTTCAAAAGTTATATTTAGCATTTTTTTGTAATTTTTAATAATGTGAAATGATTAATTATTTAAAATAAATAATATTAAAGGTACTTTAGAGGAAGATGTATATGAACATTGGGCATTCAAACCTGTAAAGTGACATCAATGGGGATAAGACCTAATTGATATTAAAGACCACTTAATTATACAATGACACACCGAGTTTAATCAAAATCGTTAGAGCTGTTTTTGAGAAAATTATAAAAAATGTGTTTCAGCGTTGATATAAAGTGGCACATCCAGTTAGCCGATTTTAAGGAAAATGTTGCTGTAACATTTAAGGCAATACCTATATCAAATACGTAATGTCAGTTTCGTACGACTTTTCATTTTTGTGCCACCCTTTCGATGAGATGGTGGCTCCTGGGCAGCGTCTGATGTAGACAAAGCCGAGGAATTTGCCAAGCACCTTTCCTATACCTTCACTCCTCATCCGGAATCCCTTCCCACCCACACAGTAAAAGTAGAGGAATTCCTCTCTACACCTATCAGACTCTCCTTACCACCTAAAGCTGTTAATCTCCCTGAGTTCAAATACCTTCTACGAAAAATTACTCCATCTAAAGCCATCATATTTTTCACTTATATATACAATTGCATCCTACGAACTACCCACTTCCCTCTGTTATGGAAACATTCCACCATCGTCCTTTTCTTGACACCAGGCAAACCTTCCATCCTATAGAACAATTAGTCTACCCCAATCCTCTCAATTTTTTTTTGAAAAGATTCTACTGAAAAGAATCCTACCTATAATTGAATCCTATAACGTTTCTTCCCATCAATTCGGATTCTGTTCCCAACTTTCCACTGTCCAACAAGGACTCTGATTTGTTGACTATGTATCCTCAATCCTAGAAAGCAAGCAGTATTGCTCGGGTGCATTTCTGGACATAGCGCAAGCTTTTTACCGGGTTTGGCACGCCGGATTGCTCTTCAAACTTAAATTCCACCTATCACAGTCCTTATACTATGATCCTATATATTCGACCACTCCTTTCGAGTTCGCTGTGGCACCGAATTCTCCGACTGTTTCTCAATTGAGGGTGGTGTTCCTCAAGGCAGCGTCTTGGATCCCACCCTGTACATTCTCTTTATCACTGATATTCCTGTCCATCTCGATACCCTTCTGGCAACTTTCATTGATGACACTATCCTTTCTTCCAACTCAAATCCTGAAACAGCGTCCGCAAGCCTACAAAGGCACCTCTCCCTGATTGAACATTGGTGTAAGAAATGGCGCATCAAGGTAAACGAATCTAAATGTAAACACATTACCTTCACCCTTCATAGGAATTCCTGTCCACCAGTTTATTTTAACTCCATTCAGCTTTCTTTCTCAGACATAGTCCGGTATCTGGGCTTTTTCTTAGACAGACGACTAACGTGGAATCCACATACTAGACTTAAAAGATGGGAACTTAATAGACGACATAGCCAGCTATATAGACTAATGAATAGGAAATCTAAACTTTCTATTGAAAAAAAAAATTACTGATCTACAAGACAATACTGAAACCCATCTGAACTTACTGACTAGAACTGTGTGGAACAGCTAAATTTTCTAACATCGCACGCATTCAATCCTTCCAATCCAAAGTCCTCCGTGCAATAGTCGATTCTCCCTTCTATGTAAGCAATAAAACCCTGCACAATGACCTTAATATTCCATTTATTCTTGATCTTATCCCAGAATTTTTATCCAAATTTCACCAGAACCTTACTCATCAACCAAATCCCGTAGTTCAATCCCTATCAAGCACCACCCATCCCTATAATCTCTCTCGTAGGTTAAAGCGGCAGTGGCCCCGAGATCTTTTATAAATATGAATATATTGGAGTTCTAGCAATGGCTAGATTCTCCACTCAAGTCATGAGTGTCTGCGGCTGTAGCGCTCTTACTCATCCTCCGCTGGTTTCAAATACCAGTGAAGTGGTTGAGGGAGAAGCGCAGGGATCTCCTAAGCCTCGCTTTTCCCTCCACGAGTGAGGGGACAAGATTGGTTCGGAGTTTCCCTGACTGATTGTAAATAGTGTATATAGGTATGCTTGTATCTAAGATGTTCATTTTACTTTTATTTTCATATTATTTATTTTATATATTATATATATATATATATATATATATATATATAATTCTTTTTTTTTCACTCTCCTTATAATATTTTATTTTGTTCTTATTTATATGTATTCTTTTATTATTACTTTATTTATTTACGTTTCTGTATATACAGTGTGAATGTACTCTCAGAACTCTTTTATAAGTGTCCTTAACTGAGACAGATTCTAATATTTGTCAATAAAAAAAAAAAGAAAAAATATATGTATATATATGATGAAATTAATTCCATAATATAATGGCTGATTTAAAGAATAGATAATTTCATATTGGAGGAGTGTATACAATTTTCAAGAATATACCTCCAATGATACTTATCAATTACATCGGACATTTTACGATTCAATAACTGTTTAATGAGTTTTTAAATAAAGGCAATTGATTTGGATATTAAAATTTTATGTTACTTTTGAGAGTACCAAGGTTTTTCGACCTCAGATATTAATTAAAATCTATTGTAAATTTAAATGTAAAACTTTACTATATTTTGTTCCTATAATTGAACTTGGTGTACATTCCTACATTTTTAATGGGTACATTAAATTATGGTTTATTAAAATTTTATATACATAAATTTATACTTTTTTTCTGAGGACCTTCAATAAATAAATAACTATATTTTGACGAGATTACGAGAGTTTATTTTTCTCGTATTCATACTATTCAGCAGGGGAAAAAATGTATAGAAAATTTAGTTATGTTTTATACAACAAAGTATAAACTTGGTTGCCTGTCTGTCTGTCCGAAGTAAAATACATATGAAGGGAATGGTGCAGATTTCTTAGATAATCCCATATCAATTAAGTAAAATATAAAATTGATTACTTTCTCATACGCACGCGCAAATATAACGTAATTCTTATGCACGCCCTTATTCGAAAACGGCTGGTTCCTCCCTTTGCTCGCATTTGAAGCCTTAAACTCTAGATGAATGGTTTACTTATCAGAGGGGAAAAGAAAATGAAATACTTAAGTTTTCAATTTTCGATTTCTATAAAAATTCGTATTTAGGAGTTTCAAATGATGAACTAATATAATTTTCTTTCTCAAAACAAAAATTTATTTGGCCTACTTTACTGGAAGCGTTTTTTTAATACAATAGTCGATATTTTTTCTTATTCTGCACAAAATAAGAAGTCGATTGATATATAATAACCTAAAAATCGGGGCAAAATAAAGGCAAAAGTAAATAACATAAATTTTGTTTGAAATTATGCAAAATATATTTTTTTCGGTTATTAGAGCCTATTGGAACGAAGGCTGGGATGTGTTTCCAATGTCTTTTGATGTAGTATCGCCGACATTTGGTTGAAATATGTGACCCACTAATAACTGACAGTAGCCTCTTGTAAGTCCCATTTTCGATATAGGATAACTTTGAAGTGTGTTTTTGTGAATTTTGACATTATATAAAACACCATAAATGCGTAAACATGATACAAACCCCCTTATATACCATATATAGTTACACTAAGTGGACAATTTTTCGATTGTACCAAGGAAAAATTCATCAAAGCTCTCAATTAATTGAGGTTATAAAAGTCACCTAATGACGTTTTGATCGTCTACTAATATAAACCTAATAATATGCAATAATTACTAATGTTAGGTTATTCTTTCGACGATTTTCCTGATAATTGTTTCTGACAAAACTCAGAATTTTCCACAAAATCTTTTTTTTCCCCACAATCATTAGGATTGTTTGATACTATACACAATCGTAAAAGGAAATAGAACAAATTTAACAGATTGAATGGACAGGAAAAAAATGATAATTAATTATTTTAAATTATATTAAATACTCTAAGGTGGGTGAGTGAAAGTTGTGTGATGAGCGCACCGCACCAGATTTGATTTTTTTAATGCTCAGTGGCCCCTAATTATCTAGAATCTAGGTTCTAGATACACCACTGGATATGTACAGTGTTTTGATTTTGTCAAAGCAAGCATAACTATAACTAGATAAGTAACATATTTCTAATAATTATAAAAGTATAAATAATTTATACCGTATGAAATTCAAAGAAGAAAGGACTGTGTCAGTGACAACATCAAATATCCCGAGATCAGATAACTTCCCATCTCCGTCGTCTAAATCAGACTCCTCAGTTGTGTCGGGTAAATCGTTGATAAAATCATCAATAATACGCTTATCATTTTTTGCCTTCTCAGACAATAAATCATCAGAGGAATCTCGTTTTTTTCTTATTCTTAATGATTTTTCATCACCGTTTTTTGAAATAATGTCTAATTCGTTTTCTTTAAAAATGGCAGATTTCCTGTTACTTCTTTCTGAAATTACAACTTGAAACAACAAAATAAATATGCCAGCGTAAAGCATCATAGTTGATAAATATGCCAGATGGAAAACTATAGTCTACTGCCACGTATAAGATACCAATCGATCCATTAAACAAGCCGTTACTCGAAGACAATGCTGAGTTTAATTATTCTTCCAATGTGATATTAAAATATTAATGTGTTTTGGAAATCATACCTCGAATGAAAGATGGCTATTATCCATACAAAATAAATACTTTCACAATCTGAAAAGAAAATTGATTACCTATTTCTTTAATATTTGTAAATTTAGACGATCCTTACCCAACAGTGTTTTAATGAATTCAGTTTTTCTTTTTCAAACTATTTAATAGAAAGTGAAAGTAACCTTAAATGTAGATGCTGATCGGTTATCAAATTGTTATTTAAAAACTTTCAACATGTTAACTGTTTCTCATGCATATTAACAATTAAAGTTTTAAGATAAAATTCAACATTAATTTTCTTCAAAACAATAATTAGATAAAAAAAAAGTTCCAGACAGGAGCGATTTGTTATATTATTTTCTGAAAGTAATGAAATGTAAAATCATTACATTACAGATAAAAACGAAGTGAATATATATGTATATTAGTTCTTTGAGTTTTTTTTATGGGGCGCACAATATTAATATATGAGGGGAAAGGTGATGTAAACCACATCTCTACCTGGAGACCCATCACCATATATTCGATTGTGCGCCGAATCATAGAGAAGGTTCTGGACCACGAATTAAGAAAGCAGGTCACCTTCCACAAGAGTCAGAGAGGCTTTATAAAAGGCCTCCCTGGAACTCACGTCAACGCGAGGATTATCAACGCAGTATTAAAAGATGCACAAAATATGAAAAATGATTGTGCGATAATTTTCCTCGACGTTGTCCGTGCTTTAGACAATGTTGTTCACAAACACATCGTGAGCTCCTTAGAAGCGAGAGGTGTGTCAATGAATCTTAAAAATGTCATATCAGCTCTCCTTAGCACGAACACCATAAAGATTAGTAACGGTGTCCATGCAACTGGCCAGATCAAAGTGCTGCGCGGTGTACCCCAAGGCGGCCCCCTGTCGTCTTCACTCTTCAACCTGGCCATCGACCATCTACCGCGTCCTGTGCGATGAGGACTTTTCCAAGAAATTTGGATACAAATTACGGAATGACCAAGATTGTGTGGTCCTCACAGGTTTCGCGGATGACCAGGCTGTGTCGGCGCGAGACAAGGGGGCTGCAGAAAGAGTGATTGACAGCATACAGAGGACATTTCAAGAAATTGGTCTGGCTATAAATCCTCAAAAAAGCATTGGCATCGTTATAAATAAAGGAGAGCTGGAAACTACGGTGCTCTCTCTTGAGAATGGAGAGTACATCCAAACATTGCAGAATGGAGATACGATTAAGTATTTAGGATGTACATTCTCGGGAGAGCTACAATCCAACGAAGATTCGGTGACTAAATTGAATGATAATCTAAACAAGCTGGTAACCTCTTGCTTACTTAAACCTGAGCAGAAACTCAACATTGTCAATCAATATCTGTTCCCAGGTCTTATTTACCCTCTCCAAACTGCGCCCCTCACAAAGCTGCGTCCTGCCATACTGGAGGGCATCGACACTATGATTCGCAGGGGCGTAAAGGCCATTATTGGACTCCCTGCGAATACTTCTACGGCGATGTTGTATGCCCCCAGGAGATACCGAGGATTGGGATTAATCCGCTGCCAATGGGAGGCTCCTCTTCAACATTGATCCATTGCTCAGCGACTGTCCAATGTCCCAGATGCCCTTTTTCAATCTACCTTCGACTATTCGGCTGAAGTTGCTAAATGTGCCGAGAGAATGGGGGTTGATCAGGGTCATCGAAATGTGAAAGCTCAGTTGCTACTTGAAAATGCATTTGAGGAATGGGCCAACTGCAGGTGGCAGGGTATTGGTGTTCGCCATTTTAAAGAGACCCCTAAAGCGAATAGATACATCTACGAAAAGCAAGTACTTTCTGGGTCTGAATGGTCGAATGCCCTAAAACTAAACATTAATTATGCACCCCTGCGTGGAGTCCCAGCTGTCAGCGGACAGGGCAGAGAAGTTGGTTCCCTCTGCCGTAAATGCGGCGGAGAGTCTGAAACACCAGCCCATGTGCTGGGAAAATGCCCCAACAACTCCCTCCTCATAACATGCCGTCACCACAGCGTCAAGTTCGAGTTGATTAGGCTCCTTTTATAGTCCTCTTCTCAACTCCCTGGGAATCATTCACCACCATGTGCATGGCTAGGCTGAGAGTTGAAATTTATGTATTTATTTAATGGAAAATTGAAAAAAAAGATAGATAAAGAGAGAGAAGTGAGAGAAAGGGAAATTAAATGTTAAAAAAAAAGAAATAAAAAAAGCATATACAAAAAAAAAAAGTAAATAATAATAATACATTTATAGAAAAAATATTGTATACTATGCTCATACATATTGTTAATCCTATATAATTATATATTATTTTAAAAATTGTCTGTAGCCCCAATGTAATTGTTCAGCACCATTTTATGATAATAAAGTGATTCTCTCTCTACTAATTTGTTTAACTCAAATTACTACATCAAGAAAATATTTAAAATATTATATGATTTTTTTAATACAACACATCTTCATAGTAAAACATTTTAAATGTTAGTTTCACATACATATATATGGACTAATGGAGGATCGATGGGACAACAAAAATGCCAACAAATATTTAAATTACAGTAGTCCTAATCAGGCGTGCTTGCGACATATATCTAATTATAAATGAGTATCTTTAAATGATAAAAGTTCTTATGAACACATAATTTATGCATATCGCTTCTTGAAACAGCTTTTATTATTACAGTTCTTTAGATAAAGTTCTTGTAAGAACTTTTACTGTACTAGTTATGATGTAGAAATTCTCGAAAAACTTATGCTTTAAAAGTTCAGACATGAACAAGGGCGGATCTAGGGGGGGAGGGGAGGGAGGGAAAGTGGGGAGGTTTTGATGCTGAAGACCCATTTTTTTCAAAGTAATTATCGTTATTTTTATCAATAAAAGCTTTCGGGCTGAAGCCTCCCCCAAAATTAAATCCTGGATCCGCTAGTGGACATGAGTGTTCATGAAAAACTTTTACTATAAATATACTAATGTAAAAGTTCTTAAAAGAACTTATATTAAAAATTCTACAAACAATTTCTTGTATACACTACTTTAAAAAAGTATCGAGAAAAATGTTAGAGAGAACAAAAACTTTTTAAACATTAGTGCACAATCATTTTGGAATTCTGGAATAACTATTTTATCCTTAAGATTGGTCAATCTAAATATTTCTTCATACAATTGTTTAAACGCTAATGATTTTGGAATTAATTTAGTTTGTTACAACAGTAGGGTGTGATCTTGAAGAGAAATAATGGGAATAAGTTTCCTTTGTCAATTAAACAACATAATTTGCTAATATTCCTAATATTTACATAATTTCTTTATAAGAGTTGCCTCATAGTAAAGACTGACATCTTTTATTCTTAAAAAGCAGAGAAAAAGCCTTTTTATATAAACTTCAATCTAAGCCAATTCTAATGATTTTTATTCATGATTAAACTTGAACATTCTTAAATAAAATCATCAGAAACATTTTGAATTGAACTTATAAAACAAAAATTGTCTTATTCTCCACTTTTTGAAATGACAAATGTCCTTGATATGAAGCCAGTCATATTATTAAATAAATTCTTTCTTTTCAAAGAATGGATCAAATAGCACCTAATTAATATCTAGAATTGATTTTCTCATGAACCTACCATTTCTTTATCTTTAAAGTTGAAATTATACTAACCAATAGATGTCTGAATGGAAATTCATTTTCTATGAATGATAAAGTTCATAAAATGAATATTTTAAAAATATTCTTTTATCTAAAATATTCATATTTTGAGATTTTAGAAATTCAAAATTTTTGAAACAAGCAAAAAAAATGTTTGTTTTGAGATTATCATATTACGACCTCAAATACAGATCCAGTTAATAACTGTTGTAATGAGTTATCAAACATCCTCCTATTATTATCCTTTATAAATCTAAAAGCATTTTTGTGATCACAAACATGGTGAAATTCGGCTGTTTCCTCAATTCTTTAAATTCTATATTAAAAGCTAATCAAGAAAAAATATAAATTTAATAATTAATGTATTTAATCGTTATAACAAAATAACAAAAACCATATAAATCCAGATTGAAAATTGATTTTTCATTAGATGATTTGACATGAAATCACCCAGGGTTGGAAAAAATGGAGGATAAAATTAGTTTAATGAAAAATAATCAATGGTAGATAGGAAAAATTACATAATTCAATTTTACAATGGAAAAAAAAAGCATAAATTGATACAAATTCATCGACGTTCTTAATTATTTGAGGTTATGAAATGTCATTGAATAACTTTTTGCTATAAATCGATAATATAATCAATGTAATTAATCAGTATAACATAATCTTAATTGATAACAAACTAAAATTAAAAAGCTGATCTGAAAAATTATATGAAATTAACTACCATTATTTCCATCATTAAAACAGTGCAAAACAATTTTAACAAAAAATGACTGAATACTCTCAACTAATCAAATATTTTTTTTTTTTTAATTTGGGAGTAAGACACATTTGTTCACCAAATTTCAGGATGAAACTGTAAAACCAGTTCCAAGGTTACACTTAGACTTCATCTATTCCTAATTGGCTACTTAAAATTATAAATAAATAAATATATATATATTTTCTATAAAAATTTACAATCATAAAACATTTACAAAATTCTTATATTCTTATTTGGCTGTTTTCTAAATGTCTATGACGTAAAAATCAGTAATTTGGATGACACATCCTTACAATTAAAACAATCAGCATCTTGATTGGTAAGAAAAATTAATTTAAAAAACACACAAAATTAATTACAAAACATTTCTATCATTTTTCAAAACAATTGTAATAACAAAAAATGTCTGGATACCATCCGATTCATCAACTAATGAAATAACTTATAATTTTTGAACTTTTTTCACCTCTTTTATTTTCCACCTTCTCTGTCTCTTTGGAACAGAACCAATTTGAAGT